CTAGTCACGCTTTGTTTTCCTTGTCACGCATTCCACCTAGGTTGTGAACACTAGCGCAGTGATGGAATGCAAGTGTATTGGRCCTTCCAAATCGTGTAATGTGCGCACWTGTTGGAAACGTCTGGCTGGATTTCGTACCGTAGGAAAAGGGCTTCATGAATTGTACATGAAGAGTGTTAAAGTCAAAAGTAATCAAGCACAAAGTTCACTTGTGCTCGTGGGAGATCCGTTCAGTAAACCCACCGCAAAAAAAGAATTCGTCCATATAAAGGATTCACCCAATTACTGTGACCGAAAAGCATCTCTGGGTATTCTYGGTACACATGGACGAACCTGTGTACGAGATAGTAACGATAAAGAGGCTGATGTGTGCGACATCATGTGCTGTGGGCGTGGTTATGACACACGCATTGTCATGCGCAAATGGAAGTGTCGTTGCAAGTTCTATTGGTGCTGCTTTGTTAAGTGTAAGTCTTGCACTGAAGACGCAATTGTACAATCGTGCAAATAAACAATCCTGGTCGTGCATGTTGAAGATCCTACTCTTAAATTGTATAGAAAAACATGTTTGAACCAACAACCTTAGTTAATGTCATGACAAAAATCTATATTCATCTCATCTCATGAGTATATAGACTGATATCGTGTAGATTAGATAATAAACTAGGAACGTTTAATAATTTAATAATTAATGTATATTGCGTGAATATTTAGTGCATATATTTGTATAAGCAAACATTATAAATACTACAAATAATTACGAAAATCGACAAAAAAAATATTATTATCAATAAGTATTGATGAAARGAAGGAGTCCATAAGCATGATTTCGATTGTAACTGGACGCACATTTTAACCTCTGGCTTTTTTATCCCGAAGCCCGAGTAAATGTCAAAGAATTATTTTAAATAAAGAGAATAATAAGCAAGCAGGGTGGCTTCGGTCAGACGGAGACAGAAAAATAAACAACAACAAAAAACAGCGTCGAATTCAATCAATAACTTTATTAAATGTTTTCAATATCAGCGAACTGATCGACCTTGTATTCTAAAACCTCTTAAGACTTTGTTATTTTAATTTTTCTTGTTTTTAATAAGTGTCAATATATGACAAAGTGAGTCTGGTGCGATATTTAAGTGGTAATGTTGYATAAACAAAACATCGATCTTTAGTTCTCAAATGCAGYCAAAACAAGACAAGATCAACGAAAGGTACAGTGCTTGAACATCATTGTTTGTGTCAATGTTTATCAAGCAGAGTATTATCGGCTTGTTGCTGCACTCACGTACTGTCTGTCACCTTCTGAACTGTCTTTACTTTGGAGAGTTTTAATACTATTAATTGCATGCCAGGTCTTTAAATGGATTCTTTTTCGAACTAATCTGTTATTTCAAATATTCAATAACTAACACGAAAACGCAAAGAAGCATCSAGGGGCCGGGGTGTCCATAGAGTGTTGGTATCAGGGGGGATCCAACAATGTATTTGTATAATAAGTGAGTATAAAAGTATATATATATATTCTCACTCGGGACACCGCCCTGACGAAAAACGCTGAAATGCATCGATAAATGTGTTTACTTTATGTTGAGGATGAGAGTGATACTAAAACGTCACGTAAACGCCAGTGAGTCACGGAAACGTGTGCCGAATTGCCCTTTATATAGACGGTTAGATGATTCTATGCTGGCTGCAATTGCACTGGCGTTGAAAGTTTTTTAATTCAAATGACGTATAAGCAGCGCTAATTTTTTTTTCGAAATTAGAGCTTAGATTAATATAGTTCAATTTGGACTATAAGAATGCTACTCTATTGTTAATATTGTCTTTAATCTAATCTAATATAATAATCCGTTGTGAAAGATCAACTAGAGGAATGTGMTCTTAAAGCACTATCTTAGCGATAACCTACTGAACACTCTCTCTCTCAGTCTCTCTTTGCATGGCGGTATAAGACGTTTCTAACGATACTCTGATAATCATCTATTTTCTTTAATGKCAATGATTAATGGCGGCCGAGCTGAACGGAACCAATTAGAAAGTATAAGAAAACTTGCAGTAAATAGCATTACACATGTTGTCTATAATGTGAAATACATTTTTCTGGGCAAAGAAGGAAAACACCTTTTTTCGACTCTCASCATGTTATTAATATCAGTGGAGAATCTGGTAAGATCTGGGTCGAAAAGCTAATTTTTGGGTTACAACCACATGATCAAAAATACCCTGAGATTAATAGAACAAAGGTATCGCCGAAACTGAATTTGGATCGATGTCAAAGGCTTGGTGTCTATATAAGTGTCCCAATCGCCCCTAAATGTGGTTTTCCTAGTTTAATTCTCTTGAGGAAACGAAGACAATGTAAAAACGCGTTTTGGGGTGATTGGGACAATTGCCACGATTATATTTGGACACAAGGCCTTCGAGAGATCAAAGGGAATGCCTTTATAGTGCTATTTTGATCCAAAATGGCGGCTATGACGTAATGTTCAACCCGAGAATTGGTTAAAATTAGAATATTTTTAAGCGTAACCATTTTTCGTATCAGTGGGAAAAGTTGAGACATCTGATAAACATGCCTTCAAATCTAAGAGCTCCAGCCTTCTGCGAGCGAGAAGCCATAATTCGTGTGAGGAAACAATGTTGAATGCACTCAAATTTGTAATCACACCTGTGTTTCCTCGCGTTATTCAATTATGTTCAAATCAACCTGAAACAGATACAGGAAATAAAACGGTGTCTATTTTTCATATTTTCAATATTGCAAGCATAAACGTACATCAGAATTCTTGCCATATTAATGCAGAAATATGTGGAAGGTCAAAATTTCATGAGTCCATGCCAAATCATCGTTGCCGGATTGTTAATCAAAGACATGTTTGAGTAGTGAAGCTCCCTATCCTACATGATAATTCCATCAAACATGTATGTTAGACTGTTTAGTCTTTTAATTGATAAATGCTGAAGTCTTGCATGGAACCATGGAAAAGAAAGCAAACATGTTGGATGTAGGAACAATTCGTTTGGCCATGCATTCGTTTCTGTTGATAGATATAAACAGCGTCGTTTTGTCGGCATTTTTTTACCATTTCAAGATTATGACTTTAACAACAATTAGAATAGTTTGCGGGCTAAGAATCATGCAATACAAGTTGACCTTACGCGRTWTATATATTTGCACAAGTATGGCACAAATTCGTTCGAAGGTACATGCTCTTGAGGTAATGTAGAAGAAATGGAACACAGCTTTACTTTCCAATCGATTRATAGTTGAATCGGACATAACAACGCGAGAAGAAGTAATAGTGACCTGTAAAAAATATATCTATTGTATCTGGTTGAGTTTAACATTGCTTCATAATGACTTGCTTCAGCTAGCGCTTCTTGTAGCAGGAGTCAGCCGACTGCTTAGATTTCAAGGTGTGTCAAGRTGATGTCTGTTTGGTGATAATCCAGTTGAAAAATAAATGAAATTATTGAACATTATTACATGCATGATGTTTGGCTGTTGGTGAAATTGTCATTATCTACGTACATGACGTTTCTTATTGACGGCACAACTTTTGCACTATACAACAATCCCACTTCAACCTGTGGAAGTAATCCTTACAACATAGCTACAACTGTTCGTAGGATTGTAAAGCAATTTGCCAATTTCTTCATAGCACTACGACAGTTGTATTAGCCATGCTACAAGGATGACATACGCAGGTTGCACGAGATGATTGTCGSCAAAAGTTGCAGTGTCGTCTTATTCGGCTTTTAGAAAGATCTAAAAGTTTAAGTTATGTTAACAATGCAATCGATCTTTCACATGTATTTAGATCGTAAGAGAAAGTCTGAAACGTGAATGCCGCTGCCAYGGAGCCTCAAGCTCCTGTAGTAAAAGAATTTGCTGGGAGTCGCTGGCTTCTTTTCGAGAAATTGGGATGAAAATATACGAAAAGATAGGCTGCATGCAACGTGTGAAAACCCTGAAAACGCGCACACGAAGCGGCTTGCGTTCAACACATCTTATCCTGGACACTCAGGGATCCCGTAAACCTCGCCATAGGTGTTTGGTGAATATGAAAAAATCTCCAACATTCTGTGAGCCAGATCGCAAGCACCATATCGTGGGCACGGCTGGGCGGATTTGCAATAAAACTGCTTCACAAGCCGAGGCAGATAGCTGTTCAGTTCTGTGCTGTGGTCGTGGATATGACACACATGAGATTGTACAGAAATCCAAGTGTTTTTGCCAGTTCTATTGGTGCTGTAAAGTCAGGTGCAAGAAATGTAAGAAACATTTTGAAATAACTCGTTGTAAGTGACGTGTTTGGACAAAATTGACAATTCCATGAATTGTCTGGTTAATTTATGTGTTTAAACTTCACTTCACTCGGTATTTATATTTTAGATATTACTATTATTTAACACGTTTATTTATTTATTTCGTATTTTATAATATAATTGTTTAATGAACTTAGAATGTGGCAAAAATTTACAACAAGGCTTTGTAGTTTGTAGACAACATTTTGAGTTTGACATGAAACCAGATCCTCATATACATAAATTCAAAGTTCAATAATTCATACAAACATATTTCTTACACCATTTATTGGATATATTTTACTTTATTTTTCCATTTATTCATATTATGCTTTTCTAGAGTTTTGAAAACTTTCTATGAAAGTATGTTATAAAGCTTTAATTTGACAAAATGGCTGCCGCTCATTGATTGACAAGATTACATTCGAACGGACAAAATGAACCCTCTAATTCTTTACTTAAAACCTCTATGTGGAAATACAGCTAGCTTAATACTAACGCGGGATAAAAAATGCCTTATTAGACGTTTTATCGTTGTTYAAAAGGAGTTTTCATGGTTTTAGACATCAAGAACGTCAATGTAAATTCAGTTTACAATTATCCGAGTTTTGACTTTGTAATACATCTACTGAGCGCGGAGTTTAATAGCAATAATGTCAGTATGGAGGTCTTTAAATGCAGTATACAGTATCGAAGAATTTAATCCGTCAACGTTTTGTGAAATACCTGCCATTTTATAGATTTTATATAAACCTGCTTTAGAGACAAATGTCTGTGTGGGAGTATACTGTTCCATGTCCCCAGGCATAATGTTTGTGTAATTTGAAAAATATATATCTATCAATTGACTTTCAACGAGGTCGTCTAGATTATTGCAGAGCTTCCTAAGGAAGTATATATAGACCTCTTTTGAGTATTGTTGGTTCATTTTGCATGTGTTGTGTGATTGTGTTTAGAATCATGGTAGTAAACGGCGGCCATTTTGTCAAAGAGATTTCACCTTCGCCGCTATGATATGGCCGGCCATATTTRAGGCAAYACCAATCAAGAATATGTAACAATGACGACGATGTTAGCAGCTTGCTATTGGGCAAGTATATCATTCGAATAATGAATCTGTCTGGAATAGTATTTCCAACAAATAGAATTYAATGCAGCTTCCACTATGTTTAGCTTTAGGGCCGGCTCACATTACGACAAAAAAGAAATAATTCGAAAGAATAATTCGACAACAAAGGAAAAGAACTTGTTCACACTAACTTGGAAAATACCGGTTCTCATACGTGGGGTTTTACTGTATTTAAGACAAAGGCATAACTAAAGGATACAATTTCCTTTTGCCATTGCTTTTCAGTAATCCCTAAATCTACTGCTTTAGTTGTCGAACCGTGAGCCTGCCCTTGTGACTTMAACATTCGGAGAAGCGTAGCATTTTTTAGCGAGTATTTATATTAATGCTTTTTCATGTGGCTTTTTAATAATAATTTTTGGGAGAACGATGCTTAAAATGTGATAAACTGGTTGGGTCATAAGGGATACTAGTTCAGGGAACTTTCTTACAAGGAAATGATTATTATGAATGCGTCTTGAGTGTGCGTGGGCAATGGAGACAGACAATGGAGGCTACTCCGAATTGAATAAGTGAACTGAATGTAAATCACTCTTAGAACAGAAACAAAAAATTGTAGTTCTTTGCATGACTTCATCGCTTGTCTTTGTGAGATTCTGCAGTATAATAATGAAACCATGCTATGAGTTAAAATAGTTCTCCCCATATTTATTAAGTGTCTGCTGTATTATTAGTTGTAAATAGAAGTATTGAGCGAATTCAGCATAGAGTGAAGTCAATGAACCCGTGAAATACATATTTGACTATTACATGTTATTACTCGATAATTGTTTTCTTTTGTGTCTATTTGACTATTACAGTTTAATTATTAACTTTTATTTCACAGGATCAATGCCTTCACTCTATTGGTATTAGATAATTGTATAGTTTTCATATCATTTCATTATAATGTATCTTTCGAGTAGAAATGAAAATCGACAATTTGCTGTGACGCCATTTTGTAAAGCAATGCATGATGGGATTGAAGTAATAACCGCTAAAACAAGCCTCCATTTCTTGGTTTGTTTGGCTTTTTTGYCTTTGTTTGTTTTTACAAATCAGCTTTTATTTATTGTGAAGACCAAACCTTAAAACAGACGTTGAGGATTATTTCAGGAGACGAAGAGTGCGAGGAACATTTTCAATTTCTTCAGTAAAAAATGGCGTCGCTGCACAATGGCTATTATGTGACAGTTTCAACTTCTGCAACTTGGAAACTATACGATTATTGTACTGTAGCGTGTAAACTTTAATGCTTAATCAGTGTTAATGTGCACTTGGTATAGAAAATAGAGAAAATTAAAATAAAAACTTCACAATGGGTCATTTTCTATTCATGGTCGTTTACTCCCTTCATAAGGATTGCAATAAATTTTTTTAATAGTATTACACAAGTCTTTAAACATTGCATAATCTGGGTTTTGTAACATTCAAAATAATCCAGGTCGAGGTAAACCTATTAGGCCATKATTCCTTACCTAGGAATTTTCAGATTTAGTCCTGTTTTGAGGGAATAAAATAATTGTTGAACGAAGTTCGGAGCTTTGATTGATYGATGGGAGCAAAAACACCCGTCAAAGAAATGCGTTCATCAGCCGTTGAAGTTCGCATTTCTACGAAGTAAGATCGTTTTGTATATATCTCCGCTTTAGCACCAGGAAAAATGTAAATTCAGAAGCCATCAGTAAAGAAAAATAATGAAATATGTAAAAAATAATCAGTTTTATTTATCAAACTTGGTGTGTTTTAAGCTACATGTACTTTTATTTGAACTTCTAATTTGTTTAGTTTCGTACCAATAAACTTTTTACCATTTTTGAAATTTTTAAGTCAGTAATACACCTTGAATTCCAATATATTACAAAATSTAGGTCAAGATATTTCTACAATGGTAACTTCCATTAAATGGGTTTTCAAATTTTGTTCATAGCTTGATTGTTTYCCTGYGATTGAGCAGGTAGGCTAACAACCAACTGTCRAAAGATGTTATTTAGAGATTTCCTGCGCTATTTAATTAAAAACAACAGAAAAGTCTATTCTGCCCGCCCTTGAAGACCTCTATTTTAACAGCTGACAATTCTTGATAACTGTGGAGCTCACCTTTCAATCCTTTAAAAAATCAAGTTATATTKGGTTTTAAGTATCAAGCATCGAAATCTCCCTTGGTGACTAGACTGTAATCGGTCTTGGCTCTTCGTGAAACGATCAACTTGATGATCATGAGAAATAGCAAAAGCAACGAAGAMGAAGCAATGAARTAAAGAAATCGCATGGGAATTTGATTAAGCCAAGGCATGCGAAGTCTGTTGTTGTAAAATGATGTCTGCTCCGGGGTTTCGCCCATGCCCTGATCTAGTGATGACAATCCGGTGTGATACGAGTCGTCTGTGGCATTGTCTGTAAAGTTTTTTCTTTTAAAGATTGTGAATGAGAAGATGAACAGATGTGTCCTCGTGCGGTTAGGTTTTCTTGATATGGTCATGTTGTTTTCTCGAGGTACAAGCATATTGTTTGTTAGCAATCCAATATCATGGCTAGTATCGCAGTGGACCAATCCAACCACGAATGTGATGATACACACGCCTTGAACTATAGGACTTTTCATCTTTTAGACACTATTTTTCCTTTAACTTTCTATTGATCTTCGACGGATTTTGGAATCATAGACAAAAATAAACCATCATGTTTATAAATTATTAATGAAYTATAACAGGTAATTGACGCGGGACCACGAATTACCCAGAATGCATTGCAAATCCACGGCTTTCTCAAATATGGCATAAAAATTGCACTAAAACGAAATACTTCCTACATAATTTATTTGCTTTGCTTCAACCGTATAATTATAATATTAATATTTGCATACAGGTTAAAACATTGTTCTTCGTAAAAAAGGTAAACGATTAAAAAATGTTATTTCTTCACAATAAATTCAACAGCCATTTGTCTTACACGCAATATAATAGTATTTAGTATAGTATAGGAGCCTATTTAGAAAAAACTGATTGCTTGACCAGTAAAGATGCTAATCAAAGCGACTCTATCTATTTACAACTACGTAATCGCTATCATATCTGCTATATCAGTCAATACTGAATAGTGTAGAGTGAAGTCACAAAACCCGTGAAATAGATATACTAATACACCTTAGTACGCTCTAATTGCATTGCTTTCTTATTTGCCTATTTGACTACCACTTTACTAGTCATCTTTTGTTTCACAGGTTTAATGAGTCCACTCTAAGAGAGTGCAAGTAGTTCATCCGTGAAACAAATAGTACTTCTTACTTTTAGCATTACTTTTTCACGGGTTGAGTGCGTGCACTATCTACCACTTGATACGTCACAAGTAACAAGACTTTTTTTGTACAAAATAAATATCCCCCTTTTTCAAACGCGCTCTAAACATACAATATAGMAAACCGAGAAAACTCAAGAATGGAAGCTGATGATGAATGAAGTATTGAAAAATTTAACTAAGGGTAGTTTAATTGACGACAGTGMGCGACTAGTGAGGTGTAGCCACCGCAGGGTCCTTGTTGTCAATCTAGTCAAACATATGGTGTCTTTGATAGATGCCGTCTCGCATCTTTCTTAGTCATTTAAGCTTTCCCACTTTTTCCACCATAGAAATGAGTGTAATAGCTGACGTCCCAATCATTAATTACACGTATGTTCCATAACTCGAGAGAGGCACTTTTTACAAGTTACTTTGCAACACCATTTGAACTTGCACTTGCAGCGTTTCTCGACGGTAACCCATTTCGAAGTGTAACCTCTATCGCAGCAGAGTATGTTACATCCATCAGTTCCAGGAGATCCCTTGATACATTTTCTACCTTTTGGMCCGTAGATTCCCAATCTGTCATTTCTATAGCAGAAGTTTGGTGAAGGTTTTAAGTAAACCATTTCGTCYGGTCCAGGTTTTGCCATTATGTCCCGTTTTATGTATGAACGAGTTACTTTCTTTCTGAAAAGTTTTAAAAGYCCATCTTCTCTTCCTGAATAAACCGAGACAGCCGCGTCGTATTTGTCRTGCAGTTTGTTTCCAATTTCACGAAATTCACTTAGCTGTCTCCAGCAAGTCTTAAGGTTACAGGACCCCGAAACACCATGACATTTACACTCGATAACCGACAGCTTTGCGACGATCTGGAAAAAATTAAGAAGGTATATACATCGTGTTAACCTTTCAAATTCTTTTTACAGCATAACTAAAATCTCTGAAGATTTGTCTAGCCAACTTAGCACTCGTCATTTCCGGACTTCTCGTGGCAATTAAGTCGATTGAGATTTGATGGGATWTGGTTGAAAGAGATATTTCATGACCGAGCTCGATGGGGAGAGCATTTAGCCATAATCAAGCAACATTCAAAGTGGTTGTGCTTTAGATTTTWCGTGTATGGAAAATGAGATGACTGGAAATAATCATTCGCATTTGCGTAAATTTGAAACTTGGTGACATTCATTCATTGAGCATTAAGGGATAACACCTTTTTGGTTTTATTACGATGCATTTTTATTTTCAAACATAAAGAAGGCCCTCACGAGGGATGCCATTTGACTATGTCTCTTAAATAGCTTCAAAATGTCACATTCAAAGACAAACAAGAAAAAGGGAAACAAAAACGACAAGAAACAGTAACAAAAAGGAAGAGTATCAACTAGCATTACTAAAAACGTAAAAATAATGGTAGAAAAGTGCCAACATTATAAATAATGAACGGCTATGGCTAAAAATATTTTTATACAAGAATCTGTCATTTTTTGGGCTATTTTTTTATGACAAGGAACAAAATAAAAGAATTAATATATCAAGGGTTAACATACCAATCTGCCAACTTCGTTATTATGGGAATTCATTAAAGCRCGGTCCTTGATGACTTGTTGGTTGCCTTGTCTATCAGCTTTTTGCAAATTGTCATTCTCCTCTTCGTCCAAAAACCTTTTGCTGAARTTAGTGCCYACAATWATGTTGTCACCACAGCCACCCCACATGTAGTCCTCTTTTAAACTGTCTGGTCTTCTTTCACGACTACAGGAGCATTCATCCTTGGAGAAGTTYCCCTCGGCACAGGCTCGCGCTAGTGCCCARACCACTGCCGCTGATGTGATAGCGTATGTAAAGGCTGCCTCTCGTGTATCTACAGAGGGAAAGAATCTCTTWTAAAACAATTGTTATAAAAAGTAGATCAATTTAAATAAGACTTCGTAAATATCAATAACTATAAAATTCAGTTTCCTTAACAAACGAATAACAAATGTCTTTATCATTTATGAAACATGAACAAAAACGCTGTCATTGAAATAGATATTAATGTTTTTTCGTTAAAATTTAATAAACGATTTAAGGTTTTATAAAGTTGCTTTTTCTAATGGTTCTTAAACAAAGAATTTCTAATGGTTCTTAAACAAAGAATTTCTAATGGTTCTTAAACAAAGAAAGTAAATTTTCGTTTGTGAGAAAGTCGCGCAAAAAGGTGCTCGGATGCACATGGCTCTTAAAACTCAATGTTGGTGGGAAATTTCAAACGGAAATAAGAGGTTTGTATCGTGGTTGTTTTATAGTGCCGCGAACCGACTTTGAGGATTTCCCATATTGTCAAAAGAAGCGGTGAGGACTAGATTGATGTTCACAGCATGTTAACCGCAATKCTATTGGTGGTTTCYAAGCAGCTAAACCAATCAACTATCAGATCATCAAGCCACCAATCGAAACCCTTTTGACTTGGAGTGGAAACTCTTACTAGGTCAAGCACCTCTTGCAACTATTACTACATAATCTTGAAGTAATCTTTTTTGTTTCTTCTTGTAACATTCTGTAATAACTGGCCAATTAACAGGCCATTCACTAGAGCTTTTCATTTCGACCTTTAAGTGTATGTGCAAAGCTTTAGGGATATTTTTTTGATAAGGTGTGGTTTAACAGTTTAACGATGATAACATTGCCGGAAAATTGTCATTTTATTCTATTGCTGTACTTGATATTCKCACAACTTAAAATTACCGATAAAAAAAATGCATAACGTCATTAGGTAAATACTGTCTCGGTTATCGAAAAAGTATCATTTCCAATTAGCACTTTCTGCATTGACAGCCACAGTTAATGGATTTTTTTCCTTGAGCAAATAAAAAACAGGTTTTCTGATCTTAATGGAAGTGTATATAGGTCAATTTGTAATTACAACAGTAAAACGCTTTTCTTAATGATATCAAAGGACTGCTAATGTTTTCAATATATTGATTAACTGGAAGGGACATTAGAGTGGACAAGCCAAGTAATTCTAGATGGGTTGAGGTCGAAAAGGTCGYTCCAAGATATCTCAACAATGCCTAGATGAATCGGCATAGCTTGAGGCTATGCATTAGGTCTACCGCAGTCTACACCAAGGGGCTGACGATCTCTATAATGGATGTTTTGATCCACTGGAGCTACCGAAGCTTGCTAAAAAACGCAAGGAAATTTAACTTGATAAACGAGTTCRATAAAAAATATGCTCAAAAAATTGGTTYGCGCTTTGSTCTAGATTTWATACCGGCCTTTATCTAAAGAACCTCGAAAATATGTGAATATTATTAAGCTGGTTTTATCTTCGTTGAAGCAAGACATTCCGTGAATTGAGGACAGTTTATCTTTACTTAATAAATATCGAATACATGGCGGAGGGTGCRAATSATAATCGTACCGCAAAACACACAGCATTTAGAGTATAACYGTACCTTGGTTTGTGATACGTATTAGTAACCTTCGGCCGTCATGTTTAGGAACGGAACAATTCCATCGTCTGTATTGAAACTGGTGTTGGCATTCAGCAATAGCCATCTTWACGCCTTCACCGACGCTGGTTACTTGATCTTCATGGTCTTCGCATATCTTTCTCTGAGAGGGACTCAGGTCCTGGTAGCCGCAAATCACATCTTTGGGATTTTTAACGCTCAGTAAGTAGACTTGAAGAGGCATGGGGTTGAACGACCTAAGGAGAGAGAGAGAGCAGTTTTCATTAAGTTTAGTAATTCATCAGAAATTACCAGTCAGAATCATTATATAATCATTAGCGGAATCAAAGGCGTGCGCAACGGACGCAAACATATAAAACATAGCAAGGATGTGTTATTTTAAAAGATTGACAGTACAGGTACTGTGACTGCGCCAAATAACGGGGACATGCAGTTGCGGCGTTTGAATAGAAGGCAATATACTCCATAACGCGAATTCCTGTATTAGTTAAAATCTTTAGGAATATGTAATCACACAGATCTGATCAACAGGCGGTATAAAGATGACATGATGTACACTATTGCACTCACCAAACACAATGTCCAGCGTGGAAAAAAGAAGTCATCACCATCAGTAGAAGGAAGAAGGGTACTTTCCTAGCTTTTCGTCGCACTTTCATGATGAAATTATGCAAAATCTGCAAAAAAATTGTACAAGAGGGTTGAGGGGATGTTGCGCTTGATGGATTATCAGCGATGGCTTCCCTTGCCTAGTTTCATCTAATCGTTTTACCATGTGGAGCAGCGTATAAAAAAGACATAACGTGATGAYTGTTAGCATCTGATTGGTGGAGAAATGATCCCGACCTATGTATTTCTGTTATTTCCTAAATTTATTAGTTGCAGATGAGGCGAAGTAGGGAATCTGCCATTTCAGTGGCCCCGGTTTCGGCTTCTGCTGACTATAAATGCAGCGCTGTTTGAAGCGGAAATCACAACAATTTAACGCCTAGTTAATATACTATTTCTAGTTTCGACTGGAAATGGATTTAAAATAACAAAGCCGAAAGTGTACAGTTAAACTTCCGTAGTTTAGTTGGCAATGTTTTCTTGTTGAGGATAAAACAATGCACATGCTAAACGGAACCATGTGTGCAGAACGTGATTTCATTAGTAATCAWTWAAAGAAACCATTGCTAAAATGATCCCCAATATTCAAAGTTTGTGTGCTTAAGGYAATTTCACCAATCTAAGACAATCAATACAAAAGTTAAAGTACATTGGATTAACACCAAATGTTTATCTAATCCGTGAAATAGGAAATGGAAATAATTGAACGCTGTTTACAGAAGCAAATCTCGGCGAGTATTTTATCAAGGTCCRGAGTTAATCCTGCTCGAGAATTGAGGAATTAGCCGTTTTAAATCGATGTTGTCCATGTAAATTTGAAGTGGATGATGACTTATACTCTTCAAGCTAACAGCAATGAGGACTGAACGCATCTGTAGCGGCGCGAAATACTCTTGTGCGCGAAATAATACCGATTAACTAACCCCTGTCGCTTGTTGACCGTCATGATCATCCTGCTGAAGAACGCAAGCCGATCCATTCATGTCCTGCCACCACATATTGCAATTAGATGATGAATTCCTTGAGAGAGGTCTATTACCCTTGGGCTATGTGTGACTTAGATTCTAGATAGCTCGACCAAATGGCGTTCGTATAACCAGCGCGCACGCTCTCAGTACCACAACACTATGATGAAAGGATGGCGGTTGACAAAACAAGTGCAAACGTCATTGGGTTCTGTTAGTTTTCTTTTAAGTTTGATCCATATATGGGCCGTAATCAAATATTTGATTCCAAGAGCCGTCTGTCACTTAATCGTGATAAAAAACATTACTTGCAATTTAGCTTCCCAAGACAGAGCTATCTTAAGGTTAGACAGGAGATTCCCTTTTATTTCATCGCGAAAAGATGTTATCAACATAGCTTTTCTCAAAATGGGGACATACTTCAAGCTAATGAAAACAAGACCATACACTGCACACAATCATCCAGTCGAGGTGACTAGGTTGATCTAGGAGTTAAAAGATATTTCCTGCATCAAGCGCCCTCGATGTTATCCCTTGTTCATAATAGACTTATGTCCTTCTACGACTGTAAACAAGAGAATACATTAACAATTTATAAATCGAGACGCTTGACGTTAAAGTTCAAGAATTAATCCTAATAGTCCAGTGAGTGGAGACAGATTTCTTTAGAGCTCTCAAAAATAATTTTCTATCGATACCTCCTTGAACGTATTGCAGAGTCTTGTTAAAAAGTTCCTCGGGGCCTTTTTTCGAGGATATTTCACATTTTTGAGTGTAATATCATTCACTGATCCSATTTTAGGGAAAATCTAATAACATGGTGTGAATAAACTGTGATATTACACTGTTACATGGGCGTGATTTCAGGTCCAGTTTTACACCAGTATAAACTATAAACGCATTAAAGCTCAGATATGAGTATAGCAGTATTCAGAACTGAACTGATTATATAATTTTATAAATCAAATAGTGAAATTTGAAGTTATATGTTATTTTGATCGGTGCATGAACAAAACAGCAGTTCCTGTCGGTATAGCGTTTGATGTCTTCTCCCGAAGATCTGAGGCGGAATTGACAAACCAAAAAACAGCCTCGGGCTACAGACACCCACTAAGGAAGAGGACCACGTAACGAAGTGGTGTCACACCCTTATTCTATGGCGCTCTTGTCGTAAGTTCTGCCTTCCGTTCGGCTCAGGTCTAAAAGTAAGACTATCRCTAATAGATAGAGGGTTCTGGAGAGTATTTGACGTGCAAATATGCATGTTTAGTATGGTAGAACCTGCGGAACAATGAACGCGAAATGAATGTAATAAATTTGGATTTTATTCCTATGTATCGTGCTTTTGTAGTAGTTCTTTGACGTGTGTGCAAAMTCCATTCTATGACAAAATTGCTGCTAAAAAGGAGTGTCAAATAACCCCTGCTATAGTATAACTCTGACAGTGACTTTGATGTCCGTCTTTCTTGTCTAATGCCCTCAATAAAATGCACTCACCCTGTAATTATTGAATTTTTGCTCTCTAGTTTTTCTGACAGTAGTACTGCCCAAATTAATCACCGATCATGAGATTAGAAAAAAAGTCTAAGAAAAACAAACCAAAACAAATACTAATGATATTAAAATGATTCTATATTGATTTTCATGAGCTATACTTGTCTAATGAGCAAGAAGTAATTTCAGAGTTGTACATAGATCAAGTGAAGACGTCCAAGCCGTGAAACAAAACCAAATGGTCCAAGTACAGTATCATGACRATGGAATTTGTAAGATTTTTTCATTTTACTTGCTATTTTCATCTTCGGACGRATCAAAGTATTCAGTATGTTGAGACATCTTTTACGTATTTCATTTATTTGATTATAAAACATTCGGTCTTCATTTTATACATAGGATAAAAAGCATGYCGAAAATAAAACTAGTATGAAAGTATTTTAAAAAGCCTCCGTAATAAACATCTTATATATCTAGTATATCCGCTATATTTCCCGCTCCAATTCTTCAAGACCARGCTCAAAACGATGCCCTTTAGACGATTTGACCTCATCAAATATCCCCGTTATTCTAATCACAAGGATTTCCACATTTTAAAAGAAAGGAATCCAAGTTATCTGATTTTCACGTAGATGGCCTTCATATATATTGCGGGACGTTATCACAAGCGATGAAAACACCGCTGTCACCGTTGACTGTTAGAGCGAAACTATCCAATTGCTACAGTATGAATGACGTACAAAASAAACATGCAAATTGTACAATTTCACTTCTTTCTTATCAATTRAATTGTGTGAAGTGAGCATTGACATAAGCTTAAATGGCTATTTACTTATGTTATCTGGGATACAATCATGTAGATCCCCTTCATATATGAAAAGATCGACAAGTAGACTTATTAATTGCCCTTAGGAGAAAATACTGTCCAAACGTTTGCTGAAACGATGTCGGAGGATACTGCAGTATTTGAGAAAATGTTTCTCTGTCTGGGAATCGCATWTTCTCATGGAGATCAAAACGCGCCGCGGTTCCGCTGTAYACCAGGATCTGGTATAAATAAAGCCGTGGAAAAACGGCATCTTTAGCATGTCTTCCGTGTAGAGAACAGGGAGCGGAACGTCTGTATTTAATCAGTCTCCATGCCTAAAATATTTAATGGACTACAAGGTGTACTAAAACTTAAAAACCGTATTATAAATTTTTTATCAAATATTTCAAGATGGCGACTCATAACTGAACAGTGAAGAAAACTGCGAGAAAAATCAAAATTAAAAAAAAAAAGACTGGCGAAAAAAGAACGCATATTACCGCCCTCTCTTAAATCATTGACGCGCATATTCGTTTTAGGCCTACAGACCCAGTACAATGCGATAAACAGAAGACATTGTTGTATAGTTGTTGTTTGTATTATTGGAATTTTGATCAGCTCACGGGATGTCTGATGGACGCCCACGCACACATTCGGCCTTGGTACCAAATGCGTTGGATAGTTTTAAAATCATTTATATCCGACGAGGAAAATATGACCAAGGAAAAAATATTGGAACTGCGATATTCCGGCCGCGAAGGACAACGTGGATCGTGCGTTCGTGCAGTACTCGGGCACCAATCACGCATGTTCATCGACGGAGTAGCTAGGGAGTGGCATATAAGTGAAAAACGTCATTAGCTCTGTTGGCTAAAAACTGGTCATTCAAAAGACAGTAAAGCACGCAAGTAATGGAATCTATAACGAATTATATAAATYATGATATCCCACTGTATTCATAGTATACACAATTCATTTTTGATTTTTTTCTCGGAATTTATTATAATTCCTTTTGATGCATATGCCAAAGTCACTGAACAAGGCATACATTTACTCTGGCTTCCTACSTGAGAGCACATTGCTTCAGTATAGCTACCGATTACAAATCCCGCTAGTGAGATCAGCAAAAATTATTCTACGATCTAAATAAACTTCGCCGCTATGTTGRATGATGCAAGAGAGCCGACTAATTAAGAGGAATGCTGTGTTATTTCTATCCAACATGGCGGCTATGACGTAGCACGCAACGCAAGAATGAGTTGATGGTATAAAATGTCAAATTTTAAAGTGTATTCACGTCACGTGAAAAAACGTAATGAGAAATTGCGCAAAATTGTAATAATGAAACAATATAAGGGATTTTCTACTAATTAATTTCCACAATTATTTCACGGATATCAATATACTCCTTTAGAGTAAATGAGACACAAATAAAATACAATTATATATCTTGTATTTCTAGGAATAATTAAAACGATATCATAGTATTGTATAATAGCTATATAAAAGTATGCGATTTGGCAAGACACCTGAATCTAATGGACCATTACCACATAACTGACTAATTACAGCAGCGGGGAACTCCTYGTTGTGGGGTATACCTGCGACATCGGCGCATGCAAGTATGCAATGGATTTGATGGCTTCATTTTTCACCACCAATAGCGTCCAAAACCGCGAAAGACTCGCTATTCTTTTATTAATTGAGATGAAATCACGATTGTTAAATATGGTCATGTAAAGGTCAATATTGTGAGGGTTTTATAGTTTTAGTATGGTCACTGGTGGTGACAGAGGGCACAAACAGATAAATAAACTAATTTGTTATTTTCGGAAATGTTTTGTACGTCATTTGTAGAATCTTGCCCAAGTGTTGCTAATGAGTGTTGACTTGACTTGAACTTCTTTACGCAAATATGACGACAAGCATAAAGCAAATTAGCCAATTATTTTTTTGAAGAATTGATAAATAGTTTAAGTCATGTCTGAGTGCAAAAAGAATGCCCCGAGGGTATAATATAGAGGAGCAGTCCCTCACTTTAAGTTATAAGAGGACTCTCAACCACGCTCTTTTGAGTCGGAAAAACTCAAACAAACTTATTAAAAGTTAATTTCCGACGATTATACACACACTACTTTTACAGTTCTACTTTTGTAAGTCTCCCTGAGGCGATGACAACGATATCATTATTTTTTGCAAATATTCCTCTTCTAATCATAGCGTCTGTTATTCGCGYGTCCGGTTCTTCATGTGCAAGAAAAAGTAGAACGAATAAAAGCATCTTTATACTCTWTTCCTATTTCTTATTGATACTTAGTTTTTTTCTGATTATAGTTGAAAATGGTTATTGTCTAATAGTTTAACAGGGAAAACAGAATGTACTTCACTAATAGGTTTATGATGAACGGCACACCTGAGAAGAATAAGTTTGCAGACAAAGAACAAAAAAACACTATCATCAAAAACAGACGCAAYTTAGGGGGGTTATCTTTAGCATATTTTTGTGATCATGCCAGTATTTGAAAACGTGTTGGAGTGGTTGTCACAGAATGGTTTCTATTAAYCCGTGGCATACGCTTCATCGCAGCACACTTCATTTCTCTTTAATGTTGCATCTTTTTCTTTGTCTTTTAGGTATATCAAACTTTACTACGCTTTGACTATTGCACTTTGTTTCACAGGCTRATAAAACCACTCTAAACCCTAGAAACAAGGTGTAATAGTTGAATGCACTCAACTGAAATAAAATTAAATTAAAACAAAGAAAGACATGTAAAATAAAGAATAATACAACGACTCGCTAATGTTTATCTATCAGGTAATTCCAATTCACTCTATATATAAATGACAGTGAAATATAGWCAAAATTTTATGCACAACAGGATATCTCTTAGTATGGCTTCATATCAAAAGAGATATCAAACTTCGTCCAGACTTCAAGGCACAATTCAAGAGACACTCAAATACCTGCCAATACAAAACTAAACAAATAAAATAGAAGAAAAATGCAACTAGCCCTCGGTGGACTTAAAATCAGTTTTTAGTCTTTTTTAATCTTTAGTATACTTTGTATCATGTTTGAAATTCATGTGTTTAAAAGAGATGAAAGAAGCTTTTAAATCAGCTGCATTCTCTACCACATATCGAATCAACCTCCCGCTGAAACAGCCAAATTATCAGTGATAGTTATATTACATTTTACAGATATCACATTACTGTGTACCGGCTGTTCACTGCTGCACATGTAGTTAATAACTAAGAGGCGTAGCGTGGGCCATTTTGATAACTACGCACGACTCTATCTCCAAAAATCTGCAATAAATGTAGCATTTTATATGTTTAAAATACAAAAACAGCTCAGAACACGACGTAGATGTCGTTTTCTTTATTAATAATTTCCCAACTTTGAAAGTATATAGCACCATACTCGGCACTCAAGTACGCACTTGGGTATATCTTATCTTTGGGCGTAATAGACACTACGCCCCTGAAGRCTGAGAAAATTTGAATGACAAAATATTCCGGTTTTCAGTGAGACGAGTTATTGATCCAAAGTTTCGAAAAAGCAAAAGCATGTTAAAAAGAAGTTAAAAAATTAAAATACGTCGTCATGAAGATCCTGATTAATTAAAAAAAAGTATGATTTCAGGTTCACAAAACTCCCTTGTGTGGTGAAATTCACTATTGAGAGACTATCAATGAGTGTACATTTTGCCAGTAAAAACGTGACATATGGCTTACATGATATAAAACACCATAATGGAGTTTCAAAGGGAGAGGACAAGCATGCATTTGGTTGCCTCACAGCGGGATCAGCTCTTACTTATCGTGTCTGAAAGCACGTCTTTCGAAAGTGGTATTTACCAAGCAATAATCACTAAAAAAGATTTTTAATGGGACGATTAAAAAAAGATCTGTTTAAACAGCTAAATCGACTATTCTCAAAATTTCAGTTTAAGTGGGCTTAGCCTCGAATCTATGTGTAAATTGATTTGATTATTCTATTGTTTTCTATCCCAGGAACGAGGCTATTCACGCCTGTACTGGGATTCTAAGTCAATTTGGGATTCGGAACACTGTATGTTAGAAGAACGAATAACTGACTTACAACAGCAAAGCAATAAATGAATTAATGAATAAATTAGTAATATAAAAGGCATGCGCACTCGAGTTTTGCAATGAATATGAGCTAGACTGAACAAGACAGCCATTGAGACTTTGGCAACTTCAAATAGATTGCAGCCTCGTTACAATGTCGACCCTCAAAGAAGAAAGGATCTGRTAATGAGGTTGAGACACTCATCTGAACTCGAAAACGCAGATATCGTAGACAATCCAGCCGGGTTTCCTTTGCCATTAGAACCGGAGAGAAATGAGAACTGACACAGGAAGCCCGCATTCAATGGAGTCTTAGAAGTGAGTTCATTGGTACGTGGTACGTCGTACAAAGAAGATGTGAAATATCGCACTAAGCTATATAATATAAGATTTAATCTTTTTGTAAACAACGAAAACTACAACAGCTATACGACAAGTTAATACACTAGAAAATCAACGAAGAACGGGATATATTTTATAGTATATTTGAAAGAAAGGATCCGGGAGATCCGGGAGAATTTGTAGGTTGTAATGAAATAGAGAATCCGGGAGATCTTTTTAAAAGAAGAAAAACTCCAACCAAAACGGCTTTTATCTAAAATTAATTTGATACCTCTATCTATTTAAATCTATTCATTTCATGTTTCTCAGTCTTGGGTTAGCCACCCTCACCGAGACATCCAGCGTCAGGTGTTAGTGTTCACGAAAATCTTGCATAGCGAATGGTCCGTGATAGCACCMGCTAAACGCTTGTTAGTAAGTCCACAGGTTTACACTGAAAGAGTTATACAATGATCTGAAGCATAGAGAGTATTCGTTCTATGTTTTTATGAAAACCGGTGCACGTTTCAAACTTACAATCGAAATCATCACAACTAAGGTCAATGACACAAGTAGATGAGAAGAGAACAAGAAAAGACTGCGCAAATGAAAATTCTGCCCTAAGGCTAAGGGTGTTACCTTTTTACTTTCTAATAGACTATTTAAGATTGCACTGATCGACAATAAACAGTTCATCACCAGTGAAGAACGAACCATAGAGACCACGATTTTGATATTTCTAGCATATTTCTGGCTATTAGTTTTCACTAAATGGAGACTTTTAGAATCGATTGTGAGAGTGCAAAACAATAACCTATGAAAACATTTAGATTGAGTGAACCAAAAACCCTTGAAATATGTTTTACACTGATACACCTTGTTTTCTTTTGTCAATTTGGTCCAGTCTTATCAAATAAATGGTTGTAGGTCGGTCTATTCATTACGATGTAAGCGCTACTTCAACCTAAAAGTTATTTATTTTCGTCGAGCTTTCGTAGTTTTCATTCAGTCTTGATAATGGCTCGGTGAGCCGAAAGCTCGACGAAAATAAATAACTTTTAGGTTGAAGTAGCGCTTACATCGTAATGGTCTAGTTTTTGAATCGGCCGGCTAAACTGGTTATATAATGCTGATTTACAAACTAATGCTGATTTACAAAACATCAAGGACGACGGTGGAGGATAAATGATAATAATCAAGAGCAAACAACTTGCATTTGAGTCCATTTATGCCGGAATCAGTAACAATAAAAAATAGAACAAGTAATGATAACAATAACGTTATCAATGATTATAATCTTGAGTAAAAATAATAATAATTACGTTGATTACAAAAACTATACAAAGATGCTGTTTATTGAGGCTAAATAAGATCTTTTTTCGCCTTGTGATTGTCGGCCATGTTTGCTTTGACAAAGTGCATGATGGTTTTTCTTGATAAAATTTCAATATGGCGGATACTTTACAGAAAGAAAACACGGGCGGAGGGTGAAGCTTCTWTTAGAAAACAAACTTACGTTGTCRGGAGGAACCTTACAAATACGAGTGAATGCGCTTTRTGGAGTCTGTTTTCAGTCATACTCAAACAAGACCAGTCAGAATAAAGCCAAATGCATGTCATGCAAAAGAATCCAACACAGCATGACTTCAGTCAATAATTTCATCAATCCCATAGCGCATTWCTACGGAAATCACACAAAACCACGAGGAAGTGTGCATTTTGCAGGTTACATTTGCTATTTGATTTTGTATCGCCTGCAACAGCTGYAGGGGTTTGTCTGAGTTGGGTAGGCCTTCTCTTCGCTGTGGTAACCCRAATTYCATATCATTATTTACTAAATTTATTCAGTATTCACTTCAAAAAATATTAGAAAACTTTCCTTTTGATGTAATAATTCTAGATGTTACGAAGAAAGCAGGTTCGCTTAACGCCTGCGCTGATGTCAGAGTGCATCCCACACGATGCGTGACGTCAAGGCAACCTAAAAAATGACATTCCTGGAGTATATATTTTGAATCAACAATATTAAATGATGAATATATCGCAAGATAAAGATAAAAAAATTAAAATAACGTTGTTTTTGCTTTGATTTGATGAATAGCTCTAAAGACAAAGAGAGTGTTTGAACCATGAAGTTCAGAGTTGGTCCAATATTACAACTGGGCTAGTGACCTTTTGCTTTACTCAACACGTGGACTCTCTAGCATGTGTCTTTTTATTACGCTCCAATAGTACGACCAGTTGGTAAATTGAATACGGTTTAATAGTGGATCAAACTCAATAACGAAAAATATATTTTAGATATAGAACTCTGACGAAGCAATGTCACAGTCAACCATACCTGCACCGTAGTTCAAAATTAAAACACGAAAAGTTTTTCTCTTTTTCAAAATTTACCACTGCAAGGATCTTTTAACAAAACAAAATATACTTCATTACAAAGTTCAAATTTTTGAATTTACAAATGTGCGATGTCCTTTTCGATTTAAATTCAAGGTTGTTGACTAAATGAAACAAAAGGTRGTAGTCACGTGACAAGCTAAACAAAAGGTCCCAAGTGTATTGAAATGCTTCATCAATCTCCTCGGCGCTAATGCGCTCCTGAGCGAAATGAAAGACAGTATTGAGCTTACTATACATTGTCTATTTCCCGAGGTTCTTGCTTTAATTTTTAGCTACTTGGATGTTCGAGACAAAGGTAGGGTTGTTCAAGTTTGTACTAAATGGAGAGACGCTGGCTATAATCGTTTAGTATGGCGAGGAGTCCAAGCAAGACTACAACTACGAAGGTCAAATCCTTACTTGTTTCCTTCACTTGCCAAGCGTGGCATCAGGAAAATACGTATATTGAGTTTAAAAAAGAGCCTTAGCTATGTTATACAAAATTTACCTAATACAGAAAGTCTAAACCTGAAAGGTTGCTTCAATGTGACAGACAGCGGCATTGGACATGCTTTCACCAAATGTCTTCCCTCTTTGACAGTACTAGACCTAAGTCTGTGTAAACAAATCACGGATAGTAGTCTCGAAAAGATTTCTGAATTTCTACAAAATCTGGAATATTTGGACCTTGCTGGATGCTGTAATATCACAAACACAGGACTATTGCTTTGTTCGTGGGGTTTACCTAAGCTAAAACACCTCAATCTACGGAGTTGTCGACATATATCTGATACAGGTATACTCCATCTAACTGGCCTCTCCAACAACGGCAAAAGGATCGGTAATAAGAATTTAACAACTTTATGTTTACAGGACTGTCAGAAAATCACTGATAACGCTTTAAGACATATTTCTAAAGGACTATTAAACTTAGAATGCTTAAATTTGAGCTTTTGCGGAGGCATAACTGAGGCTGGACTATCACACATAGCAAGCCTTCGAAGCCTGCGGGAACTTAATCTTCGATCATGCGAAGGAGTGAACGACGAAGGAATCGCACACCTTTCGGTTGGTGGATTAAACTTGGTGTTTTTAGACGTTAGTTTCTGCGACAAAATAAGCGATAATGCTCTCAATCATGTATCAAATGGACTCAATCATTTACAAAATCTAGGACTCAATTCATCAAGAATTACTGATGAGGGACTGTGCAAGATTTCCAAACATCTTCGAGAACTGCGTGTATTGAAAATTGGACAATGCACTCAAATAACAGACCGAGCTATAGAATCTATAGCTTTCCATTTGACTTCTATAACTAGTATTGATTTGTATGGTTGTACTAATGTCACTAAACATGGCTTGGAAAAGCTCATGAGTCTACCGAAGCTGAGAGTTCTCAATCTTGGATTGTGGCAAAAGTAGCCCCTGTGTAGTGTTTGGCGCTATCGTTATTAGCTTTGTAACACACGTGGTTACATGTTTTATACTTTATCAAGAAAGAGAAAATGAACTAAACGAATTAACAGCAAATAAGTGAATTTAATTTGAAACAAAGTAGATATCTCCTAATAAATCTTACTGGTATAATTTTATGACTTATTCAATCATAAAAATCTATATAATGCCAGTAAAATTATTTAGTAGATGCAAGCTAAATGATATATTGTAAATGAAAAATAGTAATATTTTTAGATGTCCAAGACATCAGACATTGTACAGTTGCATCTCCCCGGCAGGAATTGAAATTCTTGATTCCAGTGCCAAATAGCTGTCATAGCAAAATCAAAAATATTCTGTAGATAGCTCATATATTTACCAATTATAAACTTGTAAAGTTTAATTCCAATGATATTTTAAATACATGACGATAAAACAAAAAGAATCGAATCAACTGTCTCCATTTCACGAGTGCATCAATCGTGGTCATAATGAATATATTTTGATTGACCTCGATATGGTTATAGTAAATAATGATTATAAAGAAAAAAATAAAAATGTTTACAGAAAGGTGGAATTTTTATAGGAAAATTTGACATAAACAGGATATTCCTATGATATTTTAAAGTTTTGTCGTGTAAGATAAAATTGAATTAAAAATCTGAAGTGTAAAATGTACTCTTCACACATGGTTTGGGTTGACCTAAGAACTTTGAGTAATTTTGGATGTTGAATGGAAAATTTTGTTTTACAATGAAGCATTTAATTTTCAGTRTCTGTGATCCATTGATAGCTCTAAAAATAAAAGGGAAAATATATTTTCTTTCTATTTTTCTTTTCCTTGTTTATTATAAATAGATCCTCATCAATCATGTTAAAGGTCATCATTGCCACAAATCAGCYATAACTTCTTTTTGGAATTTGAATTCAAAGATACAATATGAAGTCATTTGATAGTCTTGTATTGATTGAAACTCAATCTGTTAATAGATGATCACAATTAAACCTTGAGCAGCATAGGAAATGTATAAAATCCCTTTGTATAATTTACAGTTTCACAAAAAGCTTAATGTATCATTTTAATGACTGTCATTTTCCTCCCAATTGCCATTGYTTGTCATTCATCTTTATTCATTTCTCTTTCTTTCTCTCTTTGTTTTGTTTTTGTTTTTTTTTTCAAAAGAAAAATGTCTACAGATCAGAAAACTCATTATTTCACACAATGAAGAAATTGCAGAAAAAGATCTGATAACTGAATTTCATAGTTTTGATCCCTTACATATATACACCCTTTTTACTGATTTCATTAAAACGGTGCAGAAAAGGCTTCGAGATCCACCCCTCACGGAATCCTGTTTAGATTTTGTCTTGAGCTCAGTGGACTTTTATCTATGCTGTGATGCAAACCCAGTATTCACAGTCTGGTTAGATTTTTACGACTCAAACGTATTTGAAGTCCTGTATGCGGATTTGCGAGCCAATGAACAATCACTGACATTTACACAGCCCCCGCGTCCCCCGCCGTCGAAATTTATAAGTGCGCAACTGAGTGTATTTAAACATACTTTTGTTATGTCCGTGGATGCCATTAAAAAGGAAGGAGAAGATCTCCAAGAAAGTGAGTTTATCCCTGAAACGTGAAACTTTTGCGACTGCCTCTCGATAAGTAATACTAAAGAGCAGTATCATTTCAAAATACTCGTGGAGATATCGAGCCATATGGATCGATCTTATTCAAGGTACTCTATAAGCCGTGTAAGGCACAGTATTGAGCGCGCTTATCCTGAAACGGAGGGGTTGTTTATACCCTTATAAATGACGTGGCAACTTCTGCATGTTACGATATTATTCCCTTCGTTTTTTGCTCAAAAGTCCTTTATTTCCTTCAAAATTGTTTTGTCGATAAAAAATATCATAGAAGTAAAGAACTTTGTGCTGCTTTTCTTTTAAACGAGTTTCATCACATCCTGGACATCAGAGAAAATGCTAATCATAATTAAGGAAAACGTTTGTGATAGTATAGTGTTGATCACATTCAAAGTTCTTACAAAAATGAAAATTCTTAAAAGAAAACCAAAGTTATTGACAAGATTTCCCAAATAGGGTTTGTATGTTTACCATTAATAAAACGCCTGGCAAAACACCACCGCCATTTTGAAAATTGATATCGCAAAGGAGTTTGGGATAGACGCAGCTCCTCTGAAAAAATGAGAAGCTGATGACCAAGAATAGGGTTCAAGACCTCATTGAATCGGTCATCTTAACCAATAACAATCCACTGCTTAAAACCAATGTTTCACTTAACCCTAGTTGAAAGAACCAATTGATGGCGTTTTTATGAGACATCTTTAACAGCACCTTCCGGTTTGTTATCCTTCATTTCAGGCAATGAATTGTAGTTGTTAATCGACAAAGCACATAAGGCATCCATGTTTGTAAATTCAACTCAAATTGAATATTCAAAGTCGAATTTATAGGCGATTTTTTCGGCGTTGAACGACATGTGTATGCCTGTGTACGATTGACAAATGTCCACATGCTGTACTAGTGTGTTATACTTATCGATACTTAGTTTTTTGTTTACACCGGGTAAGTTATAGAAGGTTTTAGTTGGGATATCAGAGCGGTGAGCTTTATTGCGAATGTAATGTATTATTTATATGTAATTCAATAATTTTCATTTATATGTAATTCAATAATTGTGATTTAAATGAATTTAATAGAATTAAAAGTAATCATTTGATTGCTTACTTTATTTACCTCTTTTCTGCTCTTGATCCTGTCTAGATAATCGTTATAATCCCTTGCGGTATCCTGCGAGTTTGATGTTATTCGTTTATCTGTAAGCAAGAAGGTTTGCACGGCCGTTATACATACATGATAAATAAAGTACAACACCGTGAAAAACGTCAATAATTAGCACCTTCAGCCATTGCACCAGACATGCTTAAATTCTCCATGATTACGATTGACCTAACGACGCTCTTATAGAGCTTAAACTTTTTATTCATGAGTGAAAATAAGGGCACAGGAAACCACTCAAATTGTTATCTGTGTTACACCCCTCCCCTCCCTAGGAACTCCACCCTATGGTCTATCCACTTTTACAGTTGTTCTAAGGGACAATTGACGGCCTCAAAATGGCTTAATTACTGAAAGACCTCAAGGCGAAATAAAATATTAAATAAAAAAATTAAATAAAATGATTTTAGTAATCGTTATTACTGAGAAATAATACTATATCAAGAAAATAAGACGGTATCTTCACATGTGAAAATAACTAGTTACCATGGATGTTTTTGACTTTAATTTAAGATATCTCTATTATTATTGTATTGGAGTTTGTCATAGAAAAGGATATATATGAAGCATTACATTATTAAAGGAGAAAAAATATATCTTTTGGGCGCTTTTATCGGGATACGAGTTTCATAATTCACAATTGATGCTATCGTGTGCTAGTACAGGAGTTGCCCTATTTCATTATGACGTCACATGAAAACATTCCCGGAGGTGATCAGAGTGACTGCATATCAAATAAAATGTACATGAGCAATCTTTGATACATGACATATATCAAAACACGATACATTTAAGTTCTATTCTGTGTGAGTATAAAGATATGTAAATGGATTTAAATTTCTACTGTTTTGAGCATCTTTCCTCGATATAATGTGACGTCATATTGAAAGTGGGCAATTCATATCAATTGAGCCATAAAAGATAAAATGTATCTTCTTAAAGTCGACATTTCTTTTTTCTTTTTTGCTTCATAAAAGTAGCATCTTTTGACAAAGATTGTACGAAGCTCCGTCCAAACGCCCAACATGTACCAACCAACATTTTTAGGCGAACACAGCTTGTTGGACCATCAAACAAATTGAAATGGAGGCCAAACGAGGCCTTGAGACTCAAACAAAACATGCTCGATGCTCCATTCGAGAAACTAAGTTATCAAACAATATTGCCAAAACGCAAAATGTTCTATGGTGTTATCGAAGAGATTCCCATGTTTCTCAAGCTCGTTTGGCAAGTATTTTAAAATGCCAGATTACAACCATTTAAATCAGTGTAAACAAGAAAATTATGATTTCAGTTATGTATTCCAAACATCTTTGAAAGCTAATTTTACACAAATAATGAATGTCCCCCAACTTGACAGAAGACTTATGAGAAATGCTCTTGCGCGATTTGCTTCAGCGTTCAGCTCTCTTCCACGTTGATTTTTTGCGTGCGTTTTTGTGATTTATCAATCCCCTTAAGGCCGAATAACAAAACCTTTGTAAAACGACATAGCTGTATGAGTCTGGTTGCCATATAGTACCTTGTGAACACGAGTACTTGTGCTAGAAAGATTGAGCTCTTTATGAGGGATGTACTGCTTTCAAATTCCTCCATAAAATCAAAATCGAAGAAAAGCAAGATACATACTTGATTCAAATTATCTTGGCGCTTTTATCTGCTGCCTACGTGCATGAAGACTGGTTGAGTGACTTCTTTCGCATATTTGAATCAAAAAAGGCCTAAGGGTACCATGCGCACATTGAACTTTTAACACGACCGTAATGGATTTTATGTAACATAACTGAACATATAGGGAGTGTAAGCATAAACGTTTTGGGTACGATAGTTTGAAGAGAACTAGACTAGCTTTATTTAGCTCTAGATGTAACAGCCAAGAAAAACTAAACAACCTTCAGCCAGTACCGACACATTTGCTCGCATATTTCACTAGTGTCCGAATTTACGTCAAAAATGGCGGTGCCATTAATTATTCTTAATCACTAGTATTTTACTCGTGAATAACTTGTAAGTTGTTTTTACGCTACTCAGTTGTTCAAGCAATTGGTAATGTCTAATTTCATTTGAATCTTTTCGATGTTTGGAAACAAGCARCAARTGACGCAAAGACAAAACAGAACACGTGTACTGYAGTTTATTGTTTGTTGTGCAAAAGTACCTAGCAATCAGTAGTTAGATTTGTGCTTAATTTATTGTCGTACAAAAAGAAGAGCCCGAGGGAACGTTTTTAAGTCGTATACAGCTCAGCGTTAGAATACTTTAAAGGGTGGAAAAAGACAATAATAGTTATAATAYACTAGTTAAATAGCTTCTAAGTGGTTCCTGTTAGAATAGATAAGAGGACAATGAGATAAAACGGATCTATTAGTAACTTGTACACTTAATTAATCCACTTGAATTGCTTTAGTTCGGCTAAATATATCGCTAAGGGTACTGGACCGAATGAGAAACATCATTCACGGATAAATATATTATATGTATAGATTCATTAAACCAGCACTGGTGAACTWGACCAATGTCCTTAAAAGCTTGACTTGATACACGATGCAGCTATTTATAGATTATGCATTCTTCATATTAAGTGAGTGTTTGATGTGCTGTACAATTTTTTTTTTACGTAAGTTAAAATTGTACTAGATCGAGGTCCGTTGTGAATGTTAAGTGGTTGGCACTTCATAACCGTCTTTTCTTCATCACCTTACAGGTTATAWAGGTTTTTAATCGATCGATTGATTGACAGATKTGCGCGTTCTCCTAYCTTCGATTGTATTCAACCACTTAAGCTAAGATTACTCSACTTGAGGTTGTAACACTGTTCCAGGCTAAACCGATTGCTAAATGTTATAGTGAAAATTGGAATATATATATTGCACCCAACAATCACTTTTATAAGCTGGTTTACTTTAGCAAAAGTAGTACGCGTGAGTGTGTAACTTTTCAGTACTCTTCTAAAAACACAGGAAACGTACTCTAAGAGGTAAACCAAGTACAAGTAAACTTACCATTATCCAAGTTGTGCTCGTTGTTTGTGAACCAAAGTCACATGGTGAAAAACAAGTCAACAGTCACAGCAAGTTCACAAATACATCATGTGGCTTTATACTCATTAACAGCTATGCAATTTCCTTTTTGTTCTCTATGGACGATAATTGGTATTGCATCGGTGGTTTTTTCCAGCATAATACATTTGTACAACAAAGGAACTCACCGGCCGTGGAAAATACTGTYTGTCAATTTCTTATGAGGTATATAATACACAAGTGTTAAGTTTTGTCTTGATGACGGCGCCTTCTTTTCTCTAACAGGCGCCATGTAGATTTATTAAGTTAATTCACTGTGGTAGGTGGTCGATTAGTTTATACTAGGATTTCTAGTTGATGTCACCCTTCTCTGTATGCCATACATCATGTTGTTATCGATTTTTTACTGAGAAGGACATAGGTCCCATAAATGGTTTCTGAAACAAAACAAGAGGAAAAAACGATTATGACTAGTTGAACATAAGAGRTATCAGGAAACGTGGGAAGCGCAATAAACTAGCAAGAAGAATAGATTGAATTGAAAAATGAACGAATAAAATTATGAAATGATCAATTTTTAACATTTATTACCAATCCTATTTGATTTTCTTTTCTTCAGTAAATGAAAAATAAAAGTGGATGAATGAGCGAAAAGAAAATGGATCAATGTTGTGCTAGACTTATGACGTCATGCTGGTCTGACAAAGTGCAACTTGGGCCATTATCAATTTAATAAAACAGATTTGCCAAATTTGAGTAAATGCATATGTTCCTTTGCTGGAGGTAACTAGCTGAGTTCAGATTGTTCTCACTAATAAAAATCTTTAAGCCTATCAGGACAGCTTGTCAAAATAAATGAGTGGAGTTTCCACGGCAATTTTCTRCTGTTTTGTATTACACTTGAGCATATTTATCTGCAATAGATTTTAAAACCTTAATTAAAACGTTTTTATATCGCTAGTATACAATAATTTTTGCTCAATTAGTAAAATTAGTAAGATGTTTTGGGTTTTTATAGCTCTTTCGAAAACGAACTCTCAAAAAACTGGACGCAAAAACCTAGCTATTGTTTCGTTAATGTTGGGTTTGTCAAGTTATTAAACTTACTCATCATCAAACTCTCCTGCTTCTCTTGCAATTCGCCGCCTTTTTAAATTTCACATAAAAGCAAATCAGTAACAACAAAATCCATGAGTTTCTTTCTGCAGCACATGCGGAAAATATTCTTTTTTCTACAAAATGTGTTGAAATCAGTTCTACATACTCATACTACTAGCACTTCAGCACTTCACAACTCTTGGTATCCCGCCATTGGACGCACGCGTCGTTWTTGAATGGCCACAGGCAGCCCAACCATTTGATGAGAGATGTATATTTCTTTATTCTTAAATTTTCAGTTCCAGATTTTTTTATGTTTAGTTGRAATTTTCTTGTAATTGGAAGACCGTAAATGCCTTATTCAATAACAAGAATGCAAGACATTACAAAATTAACTATAAAATTTCTTATGACTAAAATGCATAACCACCGGAACGCGCCCATCTGTACATAGCTAGGTTATAATCATTTTACGTCTTCTACTTTGTATTTCAGAATAAGAAAGTTCACTCTCGATGTCATCACAATTTTTAATGAGATATAATGAACAATTTCCACTTAAAAAAAACTTCAAAAACCTGGTCTACGAAATTTCTAAAATTTCAATCGAAAAGCCTATTCAGTTTCATCGAAAGATGCAAACTGTTGCCAAGAACGGCTGGAGGAGGCAAATAAAATGTTACTCTAAATGTTGATATTGAAAGTTTGCCCGATTATTTGACACTACCGGAACAAGACTTTTGGCATTGCATGCGCAACGCATTGACAGCAGATCTTGCTGAGATTTTCCTGGCAATGTCTCGTAAAATCACTCCTATAAGTTCATCTCCCATTTTAGTTTCGGGTTGTAGCCCAAACAGCTACGTGGCATGCTGTGCGATGTCGACTTAAAACTGTCAAGCTAAAATATATTCTGTTTCTTTGGATGTTTTCGCATCTTAGGAAAAGGAGGGGGAGGGTTCCGGAACTCCTGGAAACACCCTCTGCACATGCACCCCTGACTATTTCTCTTCAGTGCTCTCGGAAATATTTTTTATTTATTTTTTATATCCCACCAATATGAGCGCAGCCATTCTGAGCTAATGCTGTTAACATATGAAAGTCTTACGCGGCAAGCACTTCGATTCCCAACTCAACTAAAAGCTTATAGTCTTTTCCCTCAGGGAACTATGTCTGGGTCGACTGAACTGCCACATATGCCCSGATGGGCGTGTCCGGTGCTAATAATAGAGACACGCCTTTAATCCGACTGATTTTACTCCCATGCAGTGATATCACATTKTCTCTAGTAGTGTTACATGCAAGGMCACTAGCAAAAAAWTTTACAAACATCGCATGCGTGTCGAAACAAAGGAACGTCTGAACAGGCTGGTGATYCTGAATTTTGACCRAGTAGAAATTCCTGACTAATATAAGGGATCTTTCATTATTTATGCGAAATAGAAGGGCCTTAATCATTAAATCATGAGATCCATTCGAGTGAAACTGAATCTGTGGGGTATTTACATAACACCATTCGTGAATAACCATGTGATTGTACATCGGTTTGTATGTAGRTAATCAATGCCACAGGTAGGACAGACTGCTGTGCCGTGCGGGAGACTACCTGTTGGTACCTTGTGAACAGACCCACTTACGGCGGGTGAAAAAAGGTCTTTTCGCAGAGTAACCAGTTGGTAAAGTTATTGTAAAGTGGTCTATTGGCCACGTTCCATCTCCCTTCAATAACTATTACAATGCTTACGCATTCTTCGAGTGAGTTAAAAAGCATATAAAGGTTCATGTCTAAAAAAGCCCTCGAAATAAAGAACGTAAAAACCACGAAAAACAACTGAAAATCCATTTTAAAAAGCTGTTTTTACTTCATGCGATGTACTTACAAGTGTTACGAACTCTAATACTTACATATTCAAAATAATAAATACGTTAAAATATATGTGTATCCTATAACAATGTAGTTTAATAATACAAAATGTATTTACAAATAAACTGTAATATCCTATTACTATTTCAATAGAAATACGCAATATCGTGAAAGTACTCTGAATATAATGAAAAACCGGTGGTTTACACTGTACTGCTTTTGAACGGAGCATTGTGAGCATGCGTAGTCGAGACAAGACGTCTCATTATTCCTTTTAAAAATTTACATTTTGACAATAATATTTCTCGTGTTCTTGCTCCATTTTTATTATTTTCCGTCAATATTTCAACAAATATAAAAATACAAATAAAATGTTGAGCTAGATTGTTAAGAGAACCGGGAAATCTTCTCCCTCTTTTTCGCCAAGTTATCCCAATTGATTTGACTATAATGAATTTGCATGCGACGTCAATAAAAAGACAAAATACAGTGTARAGCACCAGTCAAATTCTCACAACTATGAAAAACTGTGACGCACTAAAAGTRTGTTTTTWTACCAGCGTATTTGAAAAACAAGCATGGCAAGCCATGTTYGAGACATTAGCATGTAATGAGTATAACCACAAGATTATACTCYATACTTCTTCATRGTTTTTTTCTACTAAGCAAGTGATGAAAACCACGCATTTTCCTATGCCGTAATAGTTTTTTCCGCTATATTTAGCTTCAGAAGCTTTAAAAATACTGCGGCATTCTTTGCCTAAGCGAATTTCCTTGCGCATACGCATTTTACACATCATATAATAATTCTAAGAAGCAATGGTTGTCCGCGAGTCACAGTTGCAACTTTAAACACTAAACCCAAGAAAAAAGATGGAAATCAGTAAAAGAAAAACGACGGCCAATTGTATCATTGATTTCACGGATTAAGTTAGTGTCACATTGAAAATTCAATTAATGTCGTCAATAATGCGATATAAAAAGGTGTTGTAATAATCTCGTGAATTTGAACTATGAAAGAATATTTCATTTACTTCGGTGCTTATTTTTTGAATAAACTAAATAACTATAATATATATTCAAATATACAAAATCATCTTGTTAAGAATATTTAACAAGGAAATTATAACTTTATGATCAAACTCAATTTCTAATTATGCCAACGACGGTTCTAAGTCAGAATGCAATGCGGTTTAATTGTAAGGAGAAAATTAATTGTTAAAATCAACAAAAACACAGTAGGCAATGTGCATCGCCGCATCTTTGTACAGCAGAGCATGATGGGAGATGTTCGCTACAATATTCCCTTTTGTGCTTATTTCACAGCAACGAAAACAAATCGCGAAGGCTACATTAACCGCCACATGAGAAAATGCTATCGTTGCACATTGCCTATTGATACAACTTACGAGAACATTATTGCAAACATGGAAGCTTTTGACTTGCCGATCTGGTCGCTAATCCGTGTACATACATGTACAGGTGCGATAAAACGGATACTTTACCAATGGGATTTTGGATTACATTACAAAACAAACGAACCTTGTTCCTTTTTCTCCTTAAACTGTGATGTTGTCAATAAAACGTGGTTGAMAATTCTTTTACTAAATTAATGTAGCTTGTGTTAAAAAGAACTGTTAAGACGATTAATAGCTTCATTACTAAAATACTTCTGCTTGCGGTGATTCTCCCATGTTTCAGTTTAAGAGCTGGCGTTCATAAAATTCAGACCAAGACGGTGAATTATTTCAATAACTATACCAAAGTAGCCTGCTGTTCATCATCGTTGTTCCACTGCAAAGTATGGTCTTCATAAAACGAAGGCATCGACGATGGGTTACCATTTTGCAATAAATTGTTCGACAAGTAAGGCATCGATGAATTCGAAGACGACCCCATCCTGATTCGTTTATCAATGGGGAGTAACAAATTAGATGACCCGTATGAAGTCCTGTCCGCTAGATTAGGGCCTGACCTGGCCATGTGATCATACTGACCCAATGAATAACTGCCAGAATTGCCTGTGTTACTAACAATTGCAACATCGCTAGTATTGATGTATTTGTTCGCCCGCGAGTACCTCTGAGGTGGTCTTAACAATGCGCTTCCAAATGAAAACGATCTTTTACCAGACGGACTATACGGTGAATAATTGTCACTACATAAACTCTCCGAGCTGTGGCCATACCGGGAATTAGGCGAATAGGGACTCGGAGAACGGGAAACTCTATCGTCCAGGTGATTATCCCACGACGAAGCCATTGGTTTATAGGACGGGCTATGTTCCCCGGGATCTTGTACCCGGAGAGTATCTATCCCATCTATGAAATCTTCTGAGTTTGTATAACTAGAGCTAATCGATGAGTGTTTTGTCGATGAATCACTCCTAGTATCACTGTCCGAGTACTGAAAGGCAGGTCCTTGTCGAGAACTGTCCAAAAATCGACGAGGTGATCGTGACTCCGAACGATTTGGTGAATCAAAGAACCCTTGGTAAGAATGCGAGGAAGGACTTGGAGGACACTTAAGACGGGGGTACGAGCCGTGAAAGGCACCATTTATTAACGCATATTCAGGGTCATGCCGAATGATGTCCGAAGTGGTGCTCGTTTTTCGTATCAGCTGACCCGTGGGACCAGCGCGATATCTTCGTATTGAGCTCGGTGACATATAAGGATGAGGGTAGTATGGTTCGCCATTGACCAAGCTGTCAGATGATGCATCTTCATCTGCAAAAAGGATTTAAAATTTATGCCTTATAATAACAATAACAATATAATAATAACAATTAGATAATGCAACAACACTAATGATAACAATAGGAGTTGCTACATAACAGTAGCCACTGGCCATGGAGACTCGAGTCCCGCTGTATCTACACGTAAAACATATTTTTTTAATCAAATAATCCACAATTCTTCACCTTCATCATCCTCATCGTCGTCCATTATCAAGTATTCTCGTTTAAGTCGAGTTAAATGATCTTCCATTTCTCGTAACTGCAAACATGAAAACAATCTCAGTACAAAAATACTCCATACATAAAACTCTGTACTGATAAAATACTCAACATAATAAGCAAATAACGAAATGTAGCGAGATGAAACGAGAATGTGCTTTTAGAGGGAAGACCCCGTTTACAATGCTGATTTTTGCGCAGATATTGGTGGTCATTTTGATCCTGAGATAATAATACGTGTCTGAGGTATAAGACACAATCTATTATATTTTTGAAAATCTCCGAAAAAATGCAGGAAAAATGGCCCCCAAAATCGCCAATGTAAACGGACATTTATGCTCTCTTTCATAAGGGAGTCCTCCCCACCCCCTTCCCCGGAGAGGAATGCTTTCCCTTTATAAACGTAAACTTCAGGTTCTATCGAGTGAATACAAAGAACTGAAATTATGTACACAAGAAACACATTATGAACAACATTTTAGTTCAGAGAGCACTGAAGCTTACCGCATTTAAAACATACGACGCACTCAAAACACAAATCTTATGCCACAAAAGACTTGCACATGCTTGCAAGCAGCTCCGTAAAAAGTCTTCAAAAATACAAACCTTTTTCAGAGATTTTTGGTAGGTAATTTTTCTTGTTTTCCTGACATTTTTGCTGACATTTTGGTCCTCTGATAGATTCTGGAGGTGTGGAGAGGTTATATTTAATTGGTTAGATGAATGATTATTAGTCGTGTATGCATGAGTATGGAATACGTCATAAATATATGTAAATATATGCTAATATGTAATCGTAACTCGCGGTAAGATTGGTAAAGAAAGAGACGGTTTAGCGTTTTTAAAATACTAACCTTTGCCGCTGTAGTTATCTTTGATTGAATTTCTATTTGCATTTGTTGCTTTTCGATCTCTTCAATCTGCGAATTGAAACGAAAAAACTGATAAGTAACACACAAGTATCTGATATATTGCACTACAACATTGGGCTTACACTGCAAAACAAATTCACTTACAAATTCACTAAAATCTCTACCGACTGAGCGTGTAACAACGGGGTTTTAATTTCTTAGCACCCTTTTGTGATTCTATTTTTCTTCATGACACTAGACTACTCGGAGGGAATTTGCTAAAAGCTGTCCTCAATTTGAAGAACAAGCGCAGTTCTAAACAGATAGTGAGAAGTGCTAATTCTCCAGTGGAGAGAACGACGCAAAATTACCATGTTCGCAAAGACCCAGACCACAGTTGCGCAGTAGCTTTCGAAGAGTGCGCTCCGTGTCCCAAACCACTAGTTTACATTAACTAAGGGGACTCCCATCGAAAACAAATTCACTTCAGAGTTTTACCAACCCTGAGTACAACAAGGTCTCATTTCTTTCGTAACTTTTTTTGTACATGACTCACCCCATCATGATCTCCGCTGACCACACGATCTGAAAACTCAAATGCTGTGCCAACTCGTTTTCGTATTGGAGGAAGAGTTTTACCAACAATGTAGGGCGTATCGTCTGGATATTTACCAGTTAGACCCTAAAAAAGAACGAGATAATGAAAAAAAAAAGATAAAAAAAGAAAAAAAAAATAGAAAGTAAGAAACGGGGAAGAAAGGACCCCTCGAAGGTTTGATACTCAGGTCAGGGAGTTCCTTTTTGGGGTTCCTCATCGACTTACCGCTTCTTGAATACAAAGCTGCTGCAATTCTTCAGTCTTTTGTTTTAATTTGTCCATCAGAGCTTCCTTTCTTGCTGTGAGTGCTGTAGCCATCTCTCTCATTTCTGCTGCTTTGGATGAAGTAGATTCGCTGTCCTCTGGCAAAGGAAATGGATGTAAACAATGTATCAATAATGCATTTCTTTTTATGACTTCTTGCAGTACAGTTACTAAAAAAGACACTGCACTTTATCAAAAAAAACTCAAAAATGTAATTATATTCTTTATAGCGAAGATTTGAATACTGTAATAATCATTTAATTATTCAATTAAATCAAATTAGTATAACAACTAGTAAAATACTAGCAACAGTATTTTTTTTCATATACTGTAATTATCGTTGGTCGTGTTTGAACTTTTAAGTTAAAATCAACAATTTTATCTGTAACCTAAACGTTAGGATGTTTAACGAGTTAAATACCTCCATCTAAAGTCGACAGGCTTTGAGAGTAATCACTACTAGTGCTATCACTGACTTCTGATACTAGTGAGGAACGGACAGACATTGCTGAAGCAGTTACTTCTCTTGCTACATCACGTAGAGTACGAGTTGCTGCTGCGGTTGTCTGAAGAATCAAAAAACAATTAACATAAACATGTACTTTGCATGTGAAAAGCAACAATAACACTCAAGTTATCTTTTCATTTAGATAATCTTTTCATGTAGGTGTGTTCTTTCTTCTTTTGTTTTTGTGTATCAACGAGAGTACAAAGTTACAAAGGGAAGATGTACTTAAGTGTATGTTGATCTTTTGTTATACAAAAAGTATCAAGGATTTCCTATATTATATTTTAAGATCACTCTCTTCTAAATACATAATTATTTGAAACGCTGTGTTAAAAACAACCAATTTAACTGAATTTCAAGGGAATTGGATTGGCTCCCTTGTAAGAGTTGCAATATACCTCATCTTTTTTCTTGTCCAAATAGAATTGATGTTGGCTTATTGCCATAGTCCACATTGTCTTAGCTGCAACTGCAGTACAAGCATACCAGCTATGCACCATCATATTACTGGGGCTGTGGCTTTTACGGCCAACAGATGAACTCCTAATGAGAATAGAAAAGCAGGGTTTTGATGAGAATATCATTTCAAAAACATACAATATTATCTAATGTTCAGTTTCTTTATGGCGCAATTTATTTTAGTATTAAGGTGCTTGGGAAACTGACATAATGTGCTTTACACTTTGCATATATTTAAATTCTTTTTTCACCAGCTAATCTTTATTATGATAGAAATTTTTAAATTTAAAAGTTTTATAACTATTTATTAAGATAGCCATGCATGCAGTAATTATTGTCTGACTTAAATAATCATAAAAAATTAAATTTGAAAAATAAAGAGAAATAATGAGAAACTATGTGCAAAGTGCACAGAAAGTTGACGTACCTACTCCTAAACTGGATTGACTCATACCTACAACAGAACACAAATAAATACCAAAATCTATTGCAACTTTTAGTCAATATATGTGCAAGAATGTTAACCCTTAAATCCCAGTTATGAACATAAAGTGCCTTGTGCTTGTGGAAAGTTATTTAATTATTGTCGATGCGCAAAATATTCATAGCTTCTGCAGATTTGTATACCTGTACGAGTCCCTGATTTCCAAAGAAACTTTTCTATCTCTGAAGTATATATTTTCAATCTGATTCCACTGGAAAAGCTGGAAGATTAAAGAAATACTTTGTATTGAGTCATGCGTAGATCAGTAAATGAGTTATAAAAAGGAAAATGAATTGAGTATTGAATTATTAATGTGTTTTTACACTGGTTAATTATTTACTTTCTCACCTTTCTTGGTTTGATTTTATCATTGTGATCATATACAGCGATTCCTTTCGGACTAAACCCTAGCCACCAAGGGATACTGGATTTATCCTGTGATACAGATATTAATATTTATAAATGTAATCATATTAGCATGAATTCAATAAATGTCTTAAGAATGACAAGCAAAGCCTAACTTGATTAACATAATACATACAAAAAAACTCAGATAAGAGATTACAAAATATAATTACATTAAATTCTAAATTACAAAAAGAACAATCTTGCAATCAAAGATGAGTAGTTGGTAAAACATGCAAAAAAAGTGATCATTTTCACAACAAAATATATTTGATGGATATGAGCAGACATAAACGTTCATTAGCTAAATGTAGATGCTATGGTTGGGGTGCCTGTGATGTTGTCAGCTGATTATCTGATGCCAATGTTGTATGATGCAATCAAGACCACAATACAATTATTTGAATCACATAAATGTACACCTAATGCATCTTTTAGAGTGATTAAAGTTATTCCCTCTACAAATAAAATATGGTTTCTTTAAAACTTGCTATGCTATACTTAATTCAATTATAAATTATGTAACAATAATATAATAAATATTGTTAAAAGTGACCTAAATATCTGTGAAAGTGTTAATGACTCACCTTTACTTCATAATAATGAACCCCATATGTTGGCAGACTTTGAAATATACACAAATACCTGATATTCAAAGATATCTATGATTTTTRCGCATTCTCAACAATGATTAGTCATATTACTGTAACAAATCCATAACAGTACAATGATGAGATATTTCAGATGTGTACATATTTGTACTCTGAAGCCTCCTTTGCAAATTATCAACTTTTCTCTTTTTCTCTCTTTGGCTCCTTGTGGAAAAATTGTGGGGCTGTCCTCCCCCCCTCCCCCCAATGCCATCTTTTTGTCACAACACAGGAATCCCAAATCATGGGAAGAGCAAAAAAGACAGGAAGTTGCCTGCAGAGGCCTTGTACTCCTTACCTTACTACAGTTTCACCTCTACTCTGACCAGCAGAGTTCTTGTAATATGATAACACTTTCTCCTCACTGAAAGATAGAGTGTTCATTGTATGTAACACATTTGAAACAAATAATCTATCATAATAAACAAAAAGAAGCCCATTAACTAAAGGTCTACTGTACTCAGCAGACCTTTTAGGGTTTAAAATAAGACCAGGCCCAAGCATTTATTTTTTAGGATCGTGAGCTGACATTTTATAGGTGACACCTTTAAGTTTATGAACACAGATTTAAGACGGGTATTGTAACCACAATATGAATACTTTTTTTAACCTACCAGTACGATATTGAAGGGTGTTCTTTTAATGTTCTAGTAGGTAGTATAGGAATCTTCTTGATATCTTTCTTAGCATTTTCTTCATTGGTAAAATCTCCATAAGCAGCCTAAATACCAATAAGAAAATGATTTATATTGGCTAATTAATATTCTTAACAAGAAATAATTCACTTGTCATATAATTATAATAAATAAAATTTTTTATCAACTTCCATAGTGCTAGTAAATTTTCTTGTTATGACTCACGATAATATTGATCATCATCCATTATCATCTAAATACAATTTATTACTATTATAATCACCAATACTTATAATGTATAAGACCTACATACCTGCAATGCATATCCTGCTAATTCAAATACAGTTTCACTATCTGATTGTACAGTGCCCTGTAAAATATAAAACAACCATTTACACACTAAATTCAATAGAGTGGATTTCATATGACTGTGCAACGCCACAGATCACAACATTGACATGGCACAGCCACAGAACCTCGCCTTCTAGGATTCCAAATGAAAATAAAGGTTTAACAATAAATCGCCGCTACGGCAAGGTACGGTCACAGTGTGAAAGTACCATGTTTTTTGCACAGTCATACGAAATCTGCTCTAACTGTAACAACATCAAGAGCCAAACAACAAAATGTTTAATCAACAACCATGATCCAATCTTGTGTCACCAACATTATTGAGTTTAAATGTCATAGTTTAATTAATATCCATTGCTTTCAACCAAACAATTGACCTATTTTTCCAAACGACTGTAGCCAAACAGGTGATTTGAATAATGACTTCATAATCAATATACTACAAGTACAAGTTACTACCAGAATGCATTTCCAAGTTCTATATTTACATAATACTAGTTTTTCTGACCTCCAAAGGGAGAACATTAATAATATGAATATAGACAGAGCATTCGGAGTGATAGTTATACTGTTTTAAGTATATTCACACCATTTACTCAGGTGAACATACATCCTATATCATGAACTCTACCTTAAATATTAGAATTTTTGCTTGCATAAAAAACAGCTCCACAGCTATCGGTTCTTTCAATATAAGAATATTTGGAACAAAAAACCTACAAAATACAGGTAGTGTTACAAACAATATTCTAATGAGTTCTAGAAATGCCAGGAAGGGTAGAATGAATCACAATACATTGTAAGGGATGTAATGGGAAGGCACTATGAACCATGACTTTTCTTCTTACCTAACAGAGAAGTTCAAAAGTAGGGGTTCTTGGTATCTGGGAAGATCATGGTCAATCACTCTCTTGTCCATTCTCAACCAATTCTGGTTGTTACTGAAATAATTTGTAACAATTAATCAATAAATAATAGTCAGAAAATATCTATTAATAAGACACAAATTGTGTGGGCTACAATGTTGACGTAAAATGTACAACATATAATGTATTGAACACATTTTCATTTCCTGGTTATAAATATGAACATCAGAAGATATACTATTTTAATATAGTATACATGTTGTGGCGTTAGATAAATTATATATCTAGAAATGCATAACAATTTCAGATGAAGTCATGCCTGCCAATATACATAGTATTGTTATATTGCACTATAAAGCTTGGACATGCTTTGTGAATGTCAAATTGTAAATCTATCATCTATCAGAGGCGGTGAACCAAATACAACTAAATGAATATGTATAATAAATCAAATAAACATAATATATTCAATTTTTTATTCACTGATTTCTGAATATAAAAAAGCTTTTACTTTCATTAATTTTCAATTAAAATTGGGTCTACATTGTAAACAATCACAGGGATGGGTTATGATTCATGGTTAGCTACACCTTTCCTTAGTCACAACCACAACATTATCGATCTTCCTGACCCTTAACCACATTGATGTGAACACATGTACTCACAGACAAGTGTTGATTACACGTGGTGCCATTATATCAAAACGGCTAGTAACAAGAGTAATATATAATACAATCCATTATCATTATTATATATACAATATCCATTATCACTAGCAAAAGTAAATTCAGTAACTACTATAGTTTATGGTAGAACTAGCAATATCATGAGGTTCTGAAATAATCACTTCTGTTTCAAAATATTAAAAAGCTTTTAGTTTAATATTGATCAATATTATCAAAATCATATTAAATTATTAGCATTGTTTGTAACATCTTTACCAGTATACAATCATGCATATGTAATATCAGAGAATAGAACATCACAGCAGAATATAAGAAAATATTTTATCACAAAAGCGTCAAGAAAAATTACATCATTATTTAGATTTTGTTCCATTATAAACCTGTATATAATATACTATAGKCCATACACCACACCGACAGTTATTATTATAAATGATGGGAATCTTAGTATGGTTAACCTGTATAATCATTCAATTTGCTAGAGTGTTTTAGTATTACTACTATCTGTGGACTTGTTGAACAGCAGGACAATAACAAAGATCACAGATATAAATAAAACTAATTTGTGGATTTTAAGTAAAAAACGTACAAGCAGGTGCAGGAATTAATCATTATAACTCGTAARACTTCATTATTAGCTATTTCTCTTTACTAAAATACAGGGGTGAACTAAAAGAATAAAAATTGGGAAAAATTCTCTTTAGCTTTTAACTACTGCACTTGAACGGCTTGACAACAAATTGCGAGTAATGCATATCACCCAACAGTCATCTGTTAATTTTTTTTTCCAAGTCTGAAATATGCCAGCTGAAAGAAAATAATACTCTCACCAACTGACTAGCTTTTTGTGTCTAGTCTACTAGTAATTAAAGTTTATTTTGACTGAATTTGAAAGGGAATATATCTTAATCAATATAGGTATGTACCTGTAGGTATAAAATACCATTTGAGAAGAATTAACATAAAGATATGCTATATGTACAAGCTCCAATGATTTTAGCTACACAAGATTTACAAAATTAGCATAAGATCCGTAGCATATCAAATTTACGTAAAGTGCTGTAATAGAAACATGTTTTGAGACAAAATGTAAGAGTACAGGTAAATAACATATATCAAAATAAATTACACAAAACACACAGCTTCAGATAGCATCAGCAAAGACAGCTTTTGATCTTGCATCTACCAATCATGTAAAAAATTCATGTTAAGATTGTATAATTCAAGATTGTATTCCTTCTGAAACTGCCCAGCTGGGAACAGACAATGGCAATAAAACACCACATTAAAATGCAATGATGTTTATAAGATAATTTTCAAAGATTCATGTTAATGTGTTATCAAGAACTTGACCGCTATTAATTGGATATTGCTGTTTATTTTGATCAATTTTGATTATTCTTAAAATAATACGTCAAGTTACTGAAGCATAGAAATCGTTTGAAGTTTGACAATGAATATAAAAAAAGCCTTGTTGGCCTTGAAAGACACTACTGCTGTGCTAGCTGTGCAAAATGTCAAAATTAACATTATTTTGCATACAACCTTGTCTATGGCTAGAATGAAAGTAAAAAAAGTTGCATAAAATCTTAAAATACGTCGTGTAATATAACATAAGTTAGCCTACATATATCACATGAGCACATATTTTGGGTGGAATTTTATACAATGATTTTCAAATGAAAGATAGGACACATTATTGGAAGTATTATTAGTAATTGTTATTTTGATCACATCAGGTAGCTATAATGACTTTAAATTAATGGATGTTCTTAAAAAGATTGATGTTTGATAAAAATAACACTGAAGTGTTACAACTGGGTAAATCCGAATAAAAATAAAAATAATCCCATTAACACGATTCCTAAAATGTACATTAAAGTGCAAAGGTGTCAAACTGAATATGAAATGTACTTCAAAGCAGGATAAAAGAAATATGATACTTCATTATCATATAACTGAAATACATATATCTTTTTTCAGAAATTCTTGTACGCTTAACTTGAATTGACGCATCAAAAAATGTAATTAATATTATTAAAATTATGTAATCGCAATCAAATCGTGAATTATTTATATCTTGCCCTGATACAAAAATCATGCTTAAAAGAATATTGACTTTGGGCCATACATGCAGATTAAACCATTAAAAAGAAAAGCAAACATGTAATTCATGACAGAGTGACTGAACTATTTCCTTTAGACCGCTATTTCTGTGGACTAAATTGGAAACGAAGTTTCGCTTAGTAGCCCACTTCCTTGGCGTATCCAGACCCGGAGACAAAGCGACGTACAGGAAATAATTGCAATTTTTTTAGACATATACACATCAAATCAATTGTCACACAAGTTAACAATAATTCAAAGACAACGTGGAGGTATCCGTTTGTATTCAGTAATCTTTTACTAGACAAACGTAGAACGTTCGTAGGGACTCTTTTTCGAATTCTTGATTGCGAACTAGGGTTTTAAGGGGTCCGAAGGCGAGAAATACTTAACACATACTTGATAGTCCACGAAACTAAAAATACTAACGTTTGAAACAAGAGAAATTGTTTCGATTGAAGAGGGAAATAGCTAATATTAACATATTTTTGGAGAATTTGAGATCAACAAAAATAAACTGGAGCTGCGGTATAATTTATTTATTGGTGCTGCAATAATATCATTCACTGGTCAATAAAAAAAATCAAAAATTATAAAATAAAACAGAATCATATATGTAGTATTTAAATCTTTACTTCAACCTACATTATGCAATCCTAAAATTTTGGTATTTGGCTGTTTTAACAGATCAACGGTCTACACTCGCAACCAAAACAATCCAACACTTAAACAGCAAAATTTGTCGCTTATTTAACGCTTTCGTTATCTGTTTAAAGACAATATATATTGGCTAATTATTCGCCAAGGCCTGCACTTCTTTTAAGCTAATACATATTCGCATTGAGATAACAAAATTTCTGAAGTTGAGGTTAGCTTGGCAACAAGACCAGTTGGACAAAACTCTTTATGCTCAACAGCTGATAAGCTAGCGACAAGCAACTGACATCTTCTTGGAATATATCTCAAATGACTGCAAGTCACAAAATCATGAAAAACAAGATAACTTACCTTTCATCTGTGTATGACAATCCAAAGTATTCTTTTTCGTGAAGATTAAACTGAGAAGCAACCATGTCCAACAGATCGCAAGCCATAAGCTTCGGCTGGAATATAAGCAGATCGAACCTGATAATCCAACAACCTGGATCGTACTAATATCTTATACTAAGGCCATACCTGTATGGAAAATTCTAGTCTTCGCTCGTCGAGAAGGATAACTTGACATTTTCTTGGCTTTCTATTATCATTCATTCTAGTTGTTTTAAAAACTGTCTTTTCTTACACGGCAGAGCAAACACTAGCCAAGTTCGTTTCACATCACTGAACATGTCGAGAATACGGTTGTAATACAAACTTCAGTTACGGTAGGATCCATATGTCAGACCGATGAAGAACAAAGAGACAAGAATACTGGAAAAAGTTGCTGGAGATTTGCTTCAACTTGCAGCTTTTGCGTTATCGATACGGCTCTCCATCTTGACTAGTAGTTGAGGAATGATACAAAGCTCAATGCGCATGCGCAGCAGGGCTTCCCGAAACCTGTCAATCATCTTTGCGTGGTAAAAATGAGAATAAAATGGGTTTTCCGCTTCCTTCTCACTATCTAAATTCTTTTCAAGGCCCACGAATAATATTTTCAGTGAAAACGCATTAAAATACCAATGCTTTGAATTGTCATCAGGTTACAAAAGTTTCTATATCATCATTTCGTCATTAAATGAGAAATAATAGCTCACAATTCAATACTTCTTTTTAAAGAGCTTGATACCTAGACTGGCTAATGATCACAGATTTCATGTTAAATGTTTTATCCGGGTTAAAAGGGATAGAAATAGTAGATGTACAGTGTATGTTCCCGGGTGCATGCTGGTACCGGAAAGGCGCCGAACAGCAAGAAGCTCTCGTGACTGGGGGTCACTGAGGAACACTTCCATTTATAGACTGGTTCACGATTCACACCCTGACATGATCCCAAGTCTGTCACAGGAGTTTGACCAATCGGACCCGAAACATAACATAATACATGACAGACTAACAGTTGTAAGGATAGCAATAGCCGCAGTGACAAGCGCTCCTTTTYTAACGGGAAAGGACAAGGAGAAAGAAAACAAACAACGACAACAACATACAACGGCAACAACACTAACGACAGAAGCAACAACAAAAACAAACATTTCGAATGCTCTTATTACACACGCGACAAAAATCTGAACTGCAATTGTAACAGAGAAGTAGAAAAAATAGCAAATAAAGAGACAAGCAATAAAAAGAAAAGAAAATAAATAAATAAAATGAAGCAAAAAACACCTCCGACGTGACCCAAACGGAAAAAAATTGAGATTGGGATGCCAAGGTAGGAATCCAGAATCGGGTTCCCTGTGTTACGTTGCTATCATGGCGGATGCCCACGTAGCTCGTAAACACTGGAGATGTACCCTGGAAAGAGCAGAGAAATTCATTTCAAATCAGTTCTTTTCCGATGTCAACTTGTATAGCAAGTGAGTATCGTTTGATAATTTCATCGTTCCACCATTTATTATTCAACAATCACGTTAGATAGTTCAATTAAAAAGGTCCGAGAAGTTGCTTAAATTTATCCAACTTTATGATAGTTTAGTGGCTAAGACGACATATTCAGGATACATTTCAGAAAAGTAAAACTTTATTAATATTATCAACTATCTTAGGTTATATAAATTAAGCAGCTTCTGGACCTTATAGATCAATTTCATAGTGCCTACCATCAATTTACATTTGACAATATTGGAAACATTCACCACTGTCACAGACTGTCATTATGGAAGAACTGTCAATAGGTATTTGTGGAAAGTTTTGAAGCTATGGACTAAATACTAACGAAGTTATTGAGGAATAAAAATACAAGGATTTGTATGGAATTCTTTGCTGAGTCCTTGGAAGCCTCGTTTTTGTGTTTTTGTGCATATCATAATGCACTAGTCAAAGTGCCCCAACCCGGGACAGGGTGGGGACTATGTGGGGCTTGGGGTCACATTTGACCAGCAATAATGTCCAAGGGGGTGGGGATAAAGTGAATATCTTACAAGAGTTTTAATATAGTGGGGGCATAGTGGGGCATAAGGTGGGGATTGGTCAAATAATTAGAAAAGGCCTGGAAACTCTTAAAATGCAACTTGGGCTTCCTGTGGCCCTATGAATGTCATGGACCCCCACAGATAAGTTGAACTGCATGGCTGGTCATGTAGAAAACAAAGGATTTTATTCAAAATGGCATTTTGTTTCACTTAAATTTCACGGTTATATTCTAATAGTTTTCTCTCTGTTTTGGTTTTTGTCCCCAGGGGGTTGGGTGGGGGTTTACTTTTACTAGTGCATAACCCTACTGAGGAGGATTTTTATTTTCAGTGAAACTTTCAAAACGGAAAATTAGCTGTGACATCCATTATGATCTGTGTGTTTTCTTTTGTCAATTAGGATCGTCCATTATGAAAGTTTTAATGATGTCATAATTCCAATTCTAGCGCCCTTGGATTGTTGATATTTCATGGCGATAATCATAAGTCGATTGTTAATTGATAAAATCATTTCCCACTTATAAAGAATGGCTTGAAAACCCTTTAAATAAAGCGTTTGTGTCAAATCATTGTTGACTTTTAGGTTGTATCCCAAATCCAAACCTGTTTCATCCATCASTCACTATGCTGCTCCCGGTCGCATTCCATTCAGTGAAGCAGAAAGAGGAATCTATTCTCCAGTGAAAGTAGGGGATGTCTTTGGACCAACGTAAGTTGCTGCATATTTTCCCTGCCCTTATCCTTATGAGGATCCAAATAAATTTGTTCTTTTGTACGAATAAAGACAAAATATAATGTCAATTTGCACATGTATCTTGCATTGCGATAGAAACATGTGAAGACTTCATTGCAGAGTCACGCAAATGTACAAAATGTATTTTTCTTGTCTGTAGATGGTCTACACATTGGTTCAAAGTGACATGTGAAATCCCAGAGGAATGGTATGGTGAAAGAGTTCATTTCAGATGGAATTCAGGATGTGAAGCAATGGTGAGGGTTACTGATAAGAAATGGGGTTTTCATTATTTAGATAATTAAAAATGACTTCAACATTATTTCCAGGTTTGGCAAGATGGAAAACCAAGACAGGTTAGTACTATGTTTTAGTAAATTTATATATTATTAAATACGGTGTTTTTGTTGTTGTTTTAATGGATAAAAGATTGTGAACATGCTCATGAGGTCCACAAATCCACCTATTAACTACTTGGAGGTAGCGGTACTGAACACTGTCATAGTTGTTCCCTTCAACCATCACATTTACACACTGAACAGAGTGTACAAATATTTACTTAAAGAATAAGTAAGCATAAGCAAGCAGCCAAATATTATTTGATTCCTTATTTGAGTGACCTCAAGAACTGCAAGAAGCTGTAGATCTCCATTTAGTCATTGCCTGAATAATCAATTTATCCTTGGTAAATAATAAACATTCATAGTTATACATTGTATTTAGGGTTTGACTGGTGCTGATGGCCACCAACAAAGAACTGACTATGTATTGACATACAAGGCAACTGGAAAACAAAGGTAATGATGATTTGATATCATTAGGAAAATCTTGTCAAGTCTTCTGAGCAATCATTGGCTAATGAAGTATTCTTGTAGTCAAACACTTCCTCCAAACCTATATCTCATATATTATTAACATTTAAAATCATTCCTAAATTTGTTTTGTTTTACTTACAGTTTTATACTTTACATTGAAATGGCAGCCAATGGCATGTTTGGTGCTGGAAAGAATGGCCTCATCAATGCACCGGATCCATCACTAACTTATAGTCTATCTATGGCAGAGATTGCTGTCTTTAATGTCGAATGTAATAAGCTTATTGATGACCTTGATGTTATCATTGGCCTTGCAAAGGTAAAAATGAAACCAGGATTGGAGAAATAGAAGAAGGATGTAAGGGAGGGACAATCCAAAGAAGTGTTCAACAAGTACAATTATATCAAAAATATCTTGCTATGCTACTACAATATCATTAAAAAAATAATATTAAATTCTATTACTGTAGAACTTACCTGAGGGAAGTAAACGCTCATTTGATGCACTATATACAGCTAACAAAATTGTTAATGCATGCTCTGTTGATAACAAAGAAACATTTATTGAGTAAGTAAATCCATATGATTATGAATAGAAGTTGCTATTGATCATCAACCCATCAATCTTATATCCATAAATCTGTCAAATAGCCAACCCATCAAGATCATCAAGCCATGCATCAGTCTATCAATCCATCGTGCCATCCATCATTTGATCATTCCATCAAGCCATCTATTAGTCCATCAGTCCATCATTTGATCAGTCCAGAGTCCATCAGTCCTTCAATTCATCAGTCCATCAATATATCTGTCAATCATTCGATCAGTCCATCAAACCAACAGCCCGCAAATCCATCAATCCATCAGTCCATCATTCCATCAGTCAACAAATTCACCAATCTACAAATCCATCAGTCCATCAATCCATCAGTCCACAAATCCATCTGTCCACAAATCCATCAGTCCACAAATCCATCCGTCCACAAATCCATCAGTCCACAAATCCATCAGTCCACAAATCCATCAGTCCATAAATCCATCAGTCCATCAGTCCATCAATCCATCAATCCATCAGTTCAACAGTCCATCAGTTCAACAGTCCATCAGTCCCTCAATCCATCAGTCCCTCAATCCATCAGATCATCACACCATCCTTCATTTGATCAGTCCATCAATCCATGAATCCATCAGTCCATTAAGCCATCCATTATTTGCTAAGTCCGTCAAGCCATCCATCATTCCATCAATCCATGAGTCCATCAGTCTATCAATCCAACATTCAATCAGTCCATCCATTAGTCCATCATTCTACCAACTCACTGAACTCATCAATCCATTAGCCCACGATGTTGTTAGATTCTTTATTTATCTAATATGCTTTAATGTATTTTTTTCACATATTGCTGTTATTTTGTGGCAGTATAATATAATAATCATTTTTCTATTTTACTTCAGAGCTCATAAAAGTATAGCAATGCCTTTCTTTCAACAAAGAAATGGAGAAAGTCAACACAAGGTTTATGCTATTGGGAATTGTCACATCGATTCTGGTAATTATAAGGCTAACTAATGAACAGGCTCTCGTGGGAGGAGTGACAAGGGGAGGGAGAGCCTGTTCGAGGTATACCCAATGTGCTGACATGGTGCCATGATTTTTAAAATGGTGGAAACAAGCGGTAAAATAGTGTGAACTTTGTCAGTCTTTCTAAAGAAACAGTTTTGCAAAAAGACAAATTTTAAAGGTCCAGTTTGTACCAATATGCTTTGCACGCCTCTGTTATTGTTATGATTTACAGGAAAACACTAGCTTCTAGTATCCAAATATCACCATAAAACGAATTTCAGATGGTTAAAAACTCTAATATTAGCGTTTAAGTGCTTAGAAAAGTGACATGGTCAAAGATTCGCCGAAACGCACAGTACAATTTATAGACTTTTCGGCGAACTGAAAATGGCCGCCTCCAGGCCATCGCGGCCCCCAAAGTATAATGGTGCACACTGGGTCTTTAACACCGTAAAAAAGTATCTTACTGACGTTTCGGATGTTAATCCTTTGTCGGGTTTTTAAGTCATGTTAAAGATTGAAGAAGTAGTCTTATCAATATGCTCTAAACTTTGAGACATTCATTACATTCAATATCACAGCAAAGTGTTAATTAAAAGTATGTTCGTTTGACAGTTAATGCTAACAGTGTTTAGTATAAACATACTAATGGTCTATCACTCATACTGCGCTGTGATTGGCTACTCTACTAATAGTCTAATTTGTGATATACCACTCGCGGGAAAATCAAAATAAATAAATTCTAAATTCTAAATTATTTTAAGGATATTTCAATTTGTTTTCATTATTTTACCGATTAGTATGTTTATACTAAAACAATTAGACCTCTCGGCCTCGTGGACTACGAGATAATAGCCCATTCGGCCTCGCRGACTCGGCCCGTCATGGGCTATTAGCTCGTAGTCCACTCGACCTCGAGGTCTAATTGTTAAGTGGCTGCATGGGATCAATGTTTATACCCTCTCATTTCTCTTGTTTGTTACAGCATGGCTGTGGCCAGTTGCAGAAACGGTGCGTAAATGCGGACGAAGTTTTTCAACGGCTGTCAGACTCATGGAAAAGTATCCTGATTTCAAATTTGCCTGCTCTCAGGTAATGCGCAAAATAGTTGCTTTTGACGCAGCCTCTTATTTCTCAATGAACATTAATCTGAATGGTTTTTATTTCAAGGCTCAGCAACTTGAATGGGTCAAGATTTATTATCCAACACTTTTTGAAGAACTCAAGACCTTTGCTGCTAAGGGACAGTTTCTTCCTGTTGGTGGAACCTGGATTGAAATGGTATGTGACTAGAAAGACTAACAGTTCCACATTGAACCATCTCCTTCAAATCATCACAGTTTGTTCAATTGCTGCAATTCTTTGCAAAATTTATTGATACACGACCTTTGATTGTGTCACTACAATTTCCTCACCTTTTTTCAATGCTGGTTCTAAATAATTTAGTAAATTGCTACGAAATCGCCAAGGATGAACAAGAAACGTTTACAACCTTGCAGTGGGAAAAGGGCCAGGATGTTCCATTTAGTTTGCATATTTTTCTGCTTCCAGGACGGTAACATCCCAAGTGGCGAAGCTTTTATCAGGCAGTTTCTTGTTGGACAAAAGTTCTTTAGAGACGAATTTGGCAAAGAGTGTGATGTGGTAAGCGTACTTTTTGTACTATATTACCATGCTTAGGTAATTTAGATTTACAGGTGAGTTGGTTACAGACAATCTGTTTTTGTGATGTATTTTTGTTTTTGTTTTTAGTTTTGGTTACCTGATACGTTTGGTTATTCAGCGCAATTACCGCAAATCATACAAGGATCTGGTATTAAATACTTTTTGACGCAGAAAATTAGCTGGAGCCTCATCAATAAATTCCCGGTAAGTTCTGTGAATTGTGTAGCCTACAATCGAATCGTCATTTCGTTAGTCTTCAAAGAAGAGTATGGAATATTCAGTTCCTCATAAAAGGGATTGGTTTGCAGGAGATATAACATGTCTGACAGTAAAAATATTAGATTGCTTTCTTATATTATTACCAATGTCTATAAATGTTATTCAAAAATAAAATAAAGTCTTACAATTGCTTTTTGCCAGTTCAATACGTTTTTCTGGCAAGGAATCGATGGCACAAGGTAAGTTGACTTTTGATATCTGGTTTTCTGTCCCTTGAACTTAGCATAGAGAATCTCCTCGTTGCAAATACACACGCCACATACGATATAGTGTACATCCTTATTTTACACACATATAAAAACGATTTACAAGTTCAATGTTCCTTTTTGTAGATGCCTGACACACTTCCCTCCTGCTGATACTTATGAATCCAAAGGTGACGCCTGCGATGTAAGTGACGGAAAAAAATTATATATAACTTACTTGAAAAGGATCATGTAAACCTGCTGCAGTCCGTTGCAAAGGATAAACTTGACGGCATAGTATGAAGAGTATTACGCAGGCAAATTCTCTTGTCTAATACACTTCACAAATCTACAGCAACTTGCATAAACTCTTTATTTATTTTGGTAGGGCTAGCACGTTGCAGTCTCTAGACTAGTAAACGTGCGGACCCTTATATATTCAATCATACTCACTACCTCAACATTCATTATCTTACTATACGACACTCCTCACAGCTAGTTTTTGACGGAGAGTGGAAAACCAGCGGACCTGGAAAAAACCCTTGTAGCAAGGGAGAGAACCAGCTTACAAACTTACACCACTTACAGTGCCGGACCAGGAATCGAACCAGTACCACAGAGGTGGTAGGCCAGTGCATTACCACACTGTGCCACCCTCTAACTCACCGTTGTTAGACAAGCTGTTGAGAAAATTTAACAACATGTCAAAAATATATCTTTCAGGTCCTCAAGACAGTACGGCAGCTGAAAGACAAAGGTCGCGTACACGGCAGTGTTTTATTRTATGGTCATGGTGACGGAGGGGGTGGGCCAGCGTAAGTTCTCTCTGATACCAAAACTAAGCTTGGCTTTATCACTCTAGATGTAAAATTTCATGAGGTAGTGTGCCCATATGTAATAAGGATATTTCTTTTGTTTTGGCGTTTCATAAAACAASAGATTTAGCCCTACCACTGAGGAGCACCCTACCTCATGTAAGCAGGGGGTTAGTACTCATTATCCAAACCTTCAAGTATATAATGTCACTGGTTTTGTTTGTATAGAGAAAAGATGATTGAAATGTTGCAAAGAATGGAAGACGTCGATGGGTGTCCAAAGTAAGTTGTAATTATTTCTTCCTCCTTGTGCTTATTGGCAAACTAGAAAATTAATTTGATTGTGAATGTAACTTGGTGGAATTTCAGCCGAGATCTATAACATCGGAGTGCTTTTATACAAAAAATACATTGTAAGAATTGTAAATCTGAATGGACAACCCTGAAAAGAAGCTACAAAAACGACTCTCTTTTTACATCTCTTTAAGGGTATATTTTGGAACACCAGATCAATTCTTCAAAGAAGTCGACGAAAAAGACTCATCTGAACTTTGCACGTGGGTAGGCGAATTGTACTTGGAACTACATCAAGGTACTTTCACTACGCAGGCGCAGATTAAAGCTGAAAATCGAAGTGGCGAATTCCTGCTTCATGATGCTGAAATGATGTCAGCTTTGGCTTGGTCACTTGGTGGTCAGCGCGCAGGTAAAGTCATACATTTGTGCTGTAGTTTGAGAGCAGACGAGCATATGTCAATTTTTGGATCTTTTCCAGAATTGTATCCTAGTGACACTTTTCTTCATATCTGGAAGCTATTCCTTTTGAACCAGTTCCACGACATTCTGCCTGGAAGCTGTATTCGTGAAGTGAGTTATATTTTTGGCATTCTGTACATTATTGTGAACAATGCTAAGATTGTAGTATTCATCAGATTACGCATGCGCGTCTTGATTCTRTCCCACATGGCTCAGTCTCATTTCTTCTCTTCTTGTTCTTTTCACTAGGTTGTTACGGATGCCATGAAAGCTTACAAAGGTAACTCTTTTTTAAAACGAATCGTTATTGTTTTTCCATTGGCTTTAATGAACTAGACAAGAACTGTATAATCCTTGGGATTAAACTAGAATTTTTGATTTGATATGGGCGTTCCTAACGAAACAGTTTGGATAAGATTATAGATTAACACCGCAAAAAGATATTAACAATAATTTCAACTTAAGGCTTATATTCGCAACAAAGGATTAACGTCCTAAACGTCAGTACATTTTTGAGTTTTGTCTCCTTTTTTTCTTTTGACAATTACAACTTGTTCAAGTCACATTTCTATTTCATAATTTCATACAGAAGTACGCAGTGCTGCAAGAGAGATTTTTGATTCTGCCTGTGGAAACTTAATGTCCATGGTAAGCCAGACTGTAAAAAATTGATTGATATATTCTCTCATAAGCTTTAGTTAGTCACGCTGTATACATGTACCTATTTCAAGAAAGGTCGGATAAAATGTCGAATGGCTGACGGATAACGACGTAAAATCGGAGGTCCCGTCTCTCAACACTTCACTCACAAACTGTATTAGAGGGACGTTAAAGAACCCACACCACTGTTCGCATAAGAGTAGGGAATGATTCCCGGTGTGTGTGGCTAGGCCTTACTACTAACCCATACTAATTACTAACCCCTCATGATTGTAAGCCGCGTGGCTGCCAATTGCGCCTTAAAACAGCGGTCCGTGTGAAATGATCTATACATGTGAAGCGCCTTTGAACTCAGAGGATATCGGCGCTATATAAATAACACATATAAAACTCATTAATATTCATAAGGCAAAACACAATAGAAATCATAGCCCATGAAGAGAGTTGTATATTACATACAGATTTCTTGTTCATTTGCATAAACTTTTACTCTGATTTTCTCAGTCAGGTTGAATTTTTTTTCAAAAGTTTCTTTAAAACCTGAGCTAATTTACCTTAACGTTTCATAAGTAATATACAATATTCGCGTGCGATCTGTATGAGGTTTAAAACAGCTCGCTTTCCTCATACAGATCGCCCGCTCATATTGTATATATTACATATTATATTATTATATTATTATATTATTATATTATTATATTATTATATTATTATATTATTATATTATTATATTATTATATTATTATATTATTATATTATTATATTATTATATTATTATATTATTATATTATTATATTATTATATTATTATATTATTATATTATTATGTCGAACGAAGAATGCACGACCGAAATTTGTAAACGGTTTTGCTAATTGATGAGAAATAACAGCTGTTTATAGTCTAAGATAGTCTGTGGTTTTATTTTGTTTGCAAAAACAGCGTAATCATGGTCCCTTTCGGTCGTGCAATCTCCCTTCGGCATCAGCCATTTTATCCGACAAGCCTTTTTGAAATAGCTGTATACCTATTTCAAGAAAGGTTGTCGGATAAAATGACGATTGTCAATTGGCGAAAGGCCATTGCACGACCGAAAGTAACCATGGGTTTTGCTAATTGATGAGAAATAACAATTGTTTTAAACTGTAAGTAGTCTGTGGAGACATTGACTCCATTTAGTGGCATTTCTATGCAAAGTGAATCCAACAATTGGAATTTTGTCCGTCACACCGGCGTAACAATAGTCCTTTTCGGTCTCCCTTCGACAATCGCCTTCTCCCCGACAACACTTTTTGAAAAAGTTGTATGTATTTTTGTATCAACTGTCTACCAGTTTCTGCAATCTGTATTTAGTCCTGTGTTCTCACATTGTAAAAACTTTCATCTGGTGTAATTCCGCTTTAGTTATCGTGCAATGCAACTGAGAGATCCAACAAGCCAGTCCTCATCAATACGTTGTGCGTGGACAGACAGGAACTGGTTATTATATCACAGGAAGCATTCGATGAATTACCCAAAGATGAACGATCGCTACTGCAAACACAGCAAATGTATRATGGACAAATAGTTGGTAAGAAAAAATTGTTGCATCCAAAAATCCTTGTCACTACGAATTTTTCTTTTCTGTCAGTGTTGCACGATTGGGACCTCACCCTGAATAATTGACTGTTTACTAATCTAAATGACAAAGCATTATGGGAAATGTAGGTGTCGATGCCATATATATCTAATTTCTTATAATGGTTATTACATTGTTTAGTGTTGGTGTGTGCCCCTAGTGCGAGCGTTGGTGTTATCAACAGCCCTTCATCTCGCGTACATCCAGTGTCTGTTCGACAAGATAAGGTAATAATTGTATGCTATTCATGTAACTTAGAGCGGATTTCGTATGAGTGGGACACCGTTACCGCACGGTTACCACACAGTTACCGGACCTGGCCTGCACAATTTTGGTGAACCAATGGGGCACTAGAATTTGGTTACAGTACGATTACGGTCACA